AGGCTGAAACTCTCATTTGTGCCCTGCATTATTGATCAAGTGCAAACATGGCATGATATTTAGACCAACATGAGTTTAGAGCAGCTCCTCAAGGCGTGAAAATGTTACGTCGATGCTAGAGATGCGCGGTTGGCGGTTACAGCCGCGAATAAACCGCGAAAAAGTAATTTTGTAATTTTTTTTTTAAATTCGGGTGGGTTGCGGGCGATCGAACCAATCAAATGGAAAATGATTCAAATTTAGCCTATGCCGTCTAAACATCATGATGATATCGTCCATCGGCCCAACCCTATAATAAGCGCTAATCTAATTTGGATTCCCGCAGAAAAACAAGCGTTCTAGCGGTCCCTGGATTCGTCTCAAACAGAGCACTTCTAAAGTCCGATTGGTTGCCGCCGAACCACGTCATAGCTCATTACCATATAAAGTTGATCTGACTTCAACTTCTCCTCGCCACTCTCGCCGGCTCTCATTGAAAATGAATGGCTTCCGGCCACTTTGGTGTGCTCGGCGCCGGCGGTGTGAACGCACAGTTAGTGTCTCAAACCAACTATTTCTTTTGCTGTCTAAATCCTATGTAATGATTGTCTAATCAGCTTGTCGAAGGGTCGAGGGAAAGGCACAGCAATCAAGAGATTGAGCCTGTTAATGTGCGCTCTGAAACCAGCGCTTTGAAGTGTTCACTCAAAGTGAGCGAGTTAATGGTCCCTCCACCTGAAGGGGCTTTAGATTGATGCTCTTTTCCCAGACCTCATCTTAGGGTGAAAACCGTGGCGTTCCTATTAACCCCAACTGTCCAAATGGGAAATATCCCCATCTGTCAAATGGAGGTTTCAATAATAAATCAGGACAGATTAAGAGGGATCCTCAGAAGGGCCGTCTCTGCCTGGTTTTCTCACTCGAGCCACACAAACTGTTGAGCGTTACTTCAGTGAACTCTGCTGTTAGGACATCACTTCGCTTCAGAGAGAAGTATTTCTCTTAATGCATTCTCTTAGATATGATTATTCCTTTTGGGGATGTGAGATTTTCACAGGAGGAACTGAATGAACTGAGCATTGCAGTGATTTGATCCCAGATCAAGGATGGTAAACTCACCTGAACTTACTTAGGATCTTCCCTGTTGTTGCATTTAAATATTGATAAAGCCGTGTGTGACATCTAATGACATCAGCTTTTATTTTATTCAGAAGAGACTGTACGGCTCTATGAAATCTGTTTATTTTTTCCCACATTATGTTTATTTTCCTCGTTTTTCTAGATTTGTTTTAATTAATTGAGTTCATTAATACAATTTATTATGATTTTTTTTCAATGATTTCCCCCCCTAGAAATTCTGTTGTCTATTTAATGTATGGAAATCAAATGAAGGCATAAAATATGAATTTATTATGGGGAAAATATTGTCAAACAAAGTGTTGCACAACAGAGCTTTACTGTTAAAATTAAAACATGGATGAAAAATTTTGATTATTGTGAAATGAAACTGTGTCTGTGCCATTCATTCACACAAAGACACGCATTCATTTTGCGGTTTAATATTCACAGGCACTTGGCTACTAGTGCTGATTGGCTCACTGACTTTTCTCCCCCATAATGAGTGCACACGCCCTCTTACTTCTGATTGGCTCACTCACTCTCCCCCATAATGAGTGGACACGCCCTCTTCTGATTGGCTCACTCACTTTTCTCCCCCATAATGAGTGGACACGCCTTCTTACCTCTGATTGGCTCACTCACTCTCCTCCCCCATAATGAGTGAACACGCCCTCTTACTTCTGATTGGCTCACTCACTCTCCCCCATAATGAGTGAACACGCCCTCTTACCTCTGATTGGCTCACTCACTCTCCTCCCCCATAATGAGTGAACACGCCCTCTTACTTCTGATTGGCTCACTCACTCTCCCCATAATGAGTGGACACGCCCTCTTACCTCTGATTGGCTCACTCACGCTCCTCCCCCATAATGAGTGAACACGCCCTCTTACTTCTGATTGGCTCACTCACTCTCCCCCATAATGAGTGGACACGCCCTCTTACCTCTGATTGGCTCACTCACTCTCCTCCCCATAATGAGTGAACACGCCCTCTTACTTCTGATTGGCTCACTCACTCTCCCCCATAATGAGTGGACACGCCCTCTTCTGATTGGCTCACACACTTTTCTCCCCCATAATGAGTGGACACGCCTTCTTACCTCTGATTGGCTCACTCACTCTCCTCCCCCATAATGAGTGAACACGCCCTCTTACTTCTGATTGGCTCACTCACTCTCCCCCATAATGAGTGAACACTAGGGGTGTAACGGTACATGTATTCGTATTGAACCGTTTCGGTTCGAGGCTTCCGGTTCGGTACGCATACAAACCGAACGATTGCTTGGACCATTTTTCCTGCCGGCAAAATTCGTGCTGACGCGGCCAACACAACGTTGCGCAACATCAAATGGCAAGCGTAATGAAAGCAGAACGAAACTGCGCTGCTCGTTATGTGCTTAATGGATCGTTTATCAGTTCGGAGTTCGGACCAGCAACATCTGTCCAGCGCGAGCCGATCTCGATCAAGCAACACTGTTACCACACCGCGCTCCGGTAAAGAAAACATTTGAGTTCGCCACTGAGGTAATAACATCGCTGCGAGATCTAGTGAGATGCATTCACATTTCTCCGTTATTAACCGTAGATCTCTATTAGATCAAACAGCGCTGTCATGGAAACCAGGAGAAACATTGTGCCGTGAATGAACTAGTACTTTACGTCCACAGACCAGCAACATTCACCATGGATTTAATATAGTAACACTAACTGTAACCAGTTTGGCTGGAATGGTGAAATGCTTTCAAGTACTTCACACATCTTTTTCCAGCACTTCAAAATTCAAATATTATATAAATAAATATATATTTAAATGTTATTTTTAATGTGATGACCAAAACATTATTTGTTCATCCTTCAAAGATGACCCCCATTTATAAACCTGAAAGTTTCAAGATCTAGGAAAACTCACACTTACTTAAAAATATTTTTTCTTTAAACAAATAGGAAATTTCTCTTGCATTTCTTTCTTTTTGCTGTATCGAAAACGTACCGAACCGTGACTTTAAAACCGAGGTACGTACTGAACCGTGATTTTTGTGTACCGTTACACCCCTAGTGAACACGCCCTCTTACCTCTGATTGGCTCACTCACTCTCCCCCATAATGAGTGAACACGCCCTCTTACTTCTGATTGGCTCACTCACTCTCCCCCATAATAAGTGGACACGCCCTCTTCTGATTGGCTCACACACTTTTCTCCCCCATAATGAGTCAACACGCCCTCTTACCTCTGATTGGCTCACTCACTCTCCTCCCCCATAATGAGTGGACACGCCCTCTTCTGTTTGGCTCACTCACTTTTCTCCCCCATAATGAGTGGACACGCCTTCTTACCTCTGATTGGCTCACTCACTCTCCTCCCCCATAATGAGTGAACAAGGCCTCTTACTGCTGATTGGCTCACTCTCCTCCTCCATCATAAGGGGACACGCCCTCTTACTGCTTATTGGCTCACTCACTCCCCATCATAATCTCTTACCCTCTCACTCACTCTATATTGTGATTTGATTAAAGTTTAATGACCTGCTTTTTCATTTATTCATCCAAAATTTGACAAATTACGTGAAATAATGCGTTATACAGTCAATTTCGTCCTCGTTTTCTACATTGCAGAAATCATACGGCCCTATGTTTGTTTGTCCATTTCTCCCTCCATCTGTTTTCAGATCATACACTTTTTTATCTGTTAGGCTGCTGAACTTTAGTTGCAAGATTATTGGATGTAGAGAATGGCAATGATTGGTTTGAAATGATCTGGCTATAAGAGGCTGAAACTCTCATTTGTGCCCTGCATTATTGATCAAGTGCAAACATGGCATGATATTTAGACCAACATGAGTTTAGAGCAGCTCCTCAAGGGCTCACAGACCACATGCTGTTCGGATATGAGCTTCAGTTCAGCAGCCAAAAATAATAATAGCCCTATAATAAAGATCAAATGTTTTAAAAAGAGTTTGCTCTGTCAATCATTATACCACACTGCTCTTGATGACAACAGAATAGCCAAAAAATGTCATTTGCATATTATATTATATTATATTATATTATATTATATTACTGGGTTATAGGTGATTTTTTTTTCCTTCAAGATTTTTTAAAAACTATTGTTAAATCTGTGCATATTCGTGGAAAATTATGAAATATTCTCATTCAGGGTTCCTGTGAGTCGTATAAATTAAGGCCTTGGAAAAAGTCTTAAATCAGAGCCGAAAGTCTTAAATTCATGAAGTAATGGCATTAAATGTTGCATCTTCCCACTTTTTGTCCTGTTTTCCAATACAAATATCTAAACATCTTTGATACATACTTGTGAAAAAAGTCTTGATTTTTTTTTTTTTTATAAAGTTTTGCTTAAACAAGAACAAATATCTCATGATATCTATGTTATGAGAACTTCCCTTTGAATAAGTTGATTTTTCTGAACCTATTGGCAGATCTTTGTTCTTGTTTTAATCTTGCTTAATTTTTTTTTTCCAATTTCACAGAAAACAAGACTATTTTATGTAATTTTGCATCTCAAGTAAATGTCTCTTGATTCAAGAATCTTTAGACTATTGCACTGGAAAACAACACACAAATACTTGGGAAGAACATGACTTTTTTTGCTGTGATCAGAAGAAAATAAAATATTATTTCCATATAATATTTTCCAATAATATTTCCATATTCTAGTAGCTGTTTCAAAATGTATACCTTACTTTTTCTTACTTAAATTGACCTTAATAAAACTTGCAGAAACCCTTTTTATTTATTAAAACAAGCCTGCATAATCTACTTGAATACAGGGATTGTTTGGTCGAAAATAATTGTTCCTCTGATTTAAATAAGCCATTTCAGAGCAAATGCTCCATGATTGTAAATGTAAATTAGATGAAGTTTTTAATCTGCCTCTCTCTCTGCAGGTGGTGGCGTATCATTACTGCCAGGCTGATAACACATACACCTGCCTGGTCCCTGAGTTTGTGCACAGTGTGTCTGCTCTCCTGTGCAGAGCGCATCAGCTGACCGCATACAGAGAACTGCTGCTGAAAGAGACACACCTACAGAGCATGCTCAGTCTGCGCTCCTGTGTGCAGGACCCCATCGGTGCCTTCCGCAGGGGGATCCTGCAACCGCTCATCAACCTGCGCAAAGGTACAGGAACACAACCCAAATCAAAACCAACACCATGCACGCACTTAAAGGTGCAGTAAGCGATTTGTCAACACTGTTGATATTGGAAATCAACCCAAACAAACACACCCCTCTCTTCATTGTTAAAATGCACGAGTGGATGTCTTATTATCATAGCTGAAGCGAAAAACAAAAAATTAAAATGCAGTACACAAGAGTTTGTTGTTAGTCGCCAGCAGCACACCAGCTCCAGACAAACAATGATACTCAAAACTGTATTGTTATTATAGCCAACATTACAACAGCATATCTTGGTTATGGGGAACATAGCAAAACCAATATTACTCACATATGGAGCAGAAACCATGCAACTTCAGTGTCCGTTTGCAGGCCTTCCCACTGCGCTGGAACACGCCCCCTACAGCTGATTGGTTCACTCTCTCTCCTCCCCCATCATGAGTGAACACGCCCCCTACAGCTGATTGGTTCACTCTCTCTCCTCTCCCATCATAAGTGGACATGCCCCCTACAGCTGATTTGCTCACTCACTCTCCTCCCCCATTATAAGTGGACACGCCCCTACAGCTGATTGGTTCACTCTCTCTCCTCCCCCATCATGAGTGAACACGCCCCCTACAGCTGATTGGTTCTTTCTCTCTCCTCTCCCATCATAAGTGGACACGCCCCCTACAGCTGATTTGCTCACTCACTCTCCTCCCCCATTATAAGTGGACACGCCCCCTACAGCTGATTGGTTCACTCTCTCTCCTCCCCCATCATGAGTGAACACGCCCCTACAGCTGATTGGTTCACTCTCTCTCCTCTCCCATTATAAGTGGACACGCCCCCTACAGCTGATTGGTTCACTCTCTCTCCTCCCCCATCATAAGTGGACACGCCCCCTACAGCTGATTGGCTCACTCACTCTCCTCCCCCATCATAAGTGGACACGCCCCCTACAGCTGATTGGTTCACTCTTTTTCCTCCCCATCATGAGTAAACACGCCCCCTACAGCTGATTGGCTCACTCACTCTCCTCCCCCATCATAAGTGGACACGCCCCCTACAGCTGATTGGTTCACTCTTTTTCCTCCCCCATCATGAGTGGACACGCCCCCTACAGCTGATTGGCTCACTCACTCTCCTCCCCCATCATAAGTGGACACGCCCCCTACAGCTGATTGGTTCACTCTTTTTCCTCCCCCATCATGAGTGAACACGCCCCCTACAGCTGATTGGCTCACTCACTCTCCTCCCCCATCACGAGTAAACACGCCCTCTTACTGCTGATTGGCTACAAGTGTGTTTTGGTGCTCGGTCCGATCCACTTTCATCCGTGTTTCCCAGAAATCGCTTACTGCTCCTTTTAAAACATGTTTGTGGTTTTGTTGTGAATGATAAGCAAAATATTACAAGGAAAACAATATGATTCAATCATTCCTTCCATGCATTTAACTCAGAAACACATTGCTTTATGGACTCCAATATGGGTTCCAAATGTCGTTGATATTAATTTCATTAATGAGAGATTTTTTGGCCTGTCCTCTGGCTCTCTTCCTTCTGCATCCGTTACAGTTCAGAGAAGGTTATGTGGACAGAAGTGAAAACCATCAAATGACGCATTTTATTAAAGCGGATAAGTTGGGATGTCATATGTTTAATGTTCGGCAGATGGTCTGATTATATGAATGGGGGGAATTTGCTTTGTTGTTGCATTTAATGCAGATAATCCATTTCCCGAGGCCGTGTACATGCACTCATGTTCTGGACCACGTTTATTTCTTAGAAATTGAATTAAATCAGTTGGACTTAATATATAATACGCCTTAAAGGGTTAAACTTAAATTGAGTCACTGTAGTCACTTGGACAATTTTAACGATGTCTTTCATATCTTTTGGGCCGGCAAGTTTCGATCCCTTAAGAAGCCTATGGAGGAGTGATCCAGCTCTCAGATTTAATCAAAAATATCTTCATTTGTGTTCCAAAGACAAGTCTTATGAGGTTGGAACAACGTGAGGACGAGTAATTACTGACAGAATTTTCATATTTGGGTGAACTATCTCTTTAATAATAAGACTGTCTTTATGTTTTTCTCAAAAAGAATAATGGATTTGACAATAGAGAACCTGTTCCGGTAGTGCTGGGCGGTTTGACCAAAAATTGATATCACTTTTTTTTTCAGAATTAAGCCGGTTTTCCAGTTTATGACGTTTATTTTTTTTTCATGCATAATCAGGTGTTCGAAGCATTTTTTACTGGTTGAGAGAGGAATTACTGCAATAACTTGCCTTAGGATGGTCTACTTTATATTGTAGAATAGAATAGCACCCAGTATAACCTAAAATTGTTATTTCTTAATATTCTAATAACATTCTTATAACCAAGCAAGAACGTTAATACAACGTCTAAAAAAAAATGGATGTTTTGATTGTTCCTAGAACATTCAGAAATAACGTTTTTATAACTTAATGGGAATATTATGAAAACGTTCTTATAACCTAAAATTGTTAGCTGTGGAAGAGGAGAGATTCGCGATTGCATTGAACGCGTTTTAAGTGCAGGATTCCCTGAGCTAGCCTCAGAATAGATCTTATTCTTAAAAGAGCATCGTGTATCTAAGGCCCTGTTTACACGAGAACGCTCGCGGGTGAAAACGTAAAAATATTTTATCGGATGTGCCTTTCGTTTACACGGCAACGGCGTTTTTGAGGCTCAAAAACGCAAAAAAGTGAAACCACCCTCCAGAGTGGAAATCTTAAAAACGCTCCACCGCCGCGTTCCCGTGTAAACGGTAAAAATGCAAAAGTCTGCTTGACGGTGAAAGTTGTACGCAGGCGCGTGGACTTGGTGTTGTTGTAGTATGCACTCCTAGCCGCCTGAAGTGCATACTACATTGAATTTCACACACTTTTGCGTCTCCATTTGCACGCGGATTTCCCACACAAAACCCTCGTCTAAACGCAGAATAAAAAAAGATGACGCAACACCACTTTTGCGTTTTCTCTTCAGAATCGTTTCCATGTAAACATAGCCTGAGAGCGCGCGAGAAATTCTGAGAGCGCGCGTGATATTCGTGAGATTGGTGCTCGCGCATTATATTAATTTACTTTCGCGCTGCAATAATGCGCTTCCGACATTTGACAGAAAAATAACGCCATAGTTCTGTAGCATCCACTTTGATTTACCCTCGCCTCACCGTCGCTGCTTAGAAGTGCAACATTGTAAAGGGTCCGTCTGAAACAGTGTCGGTGGCACAGCGTAACTTTCGTTCTGATCGTTGTGCAATTAAATAAGTTACATCGGTATGGCGGTATATTAAAAATGAACATCGTAACAAAAATATACAGCGGTTTTCGGTATGAACCGGTATACCGCCCAGCACTATGTTCCGGTTTATAAAAAAAGGATAATACAGGAAAGGAATATTTTTTATGAAGTTTGGTTTAGTTAATAGTTTTTCTACATTCTTACAAAGCAACTACAGCCTCTGTTTTCCCTCTTGATCTTCCACAGGTTTATCCTGCGTTTATTTGCTCTTTGCTCTAGTTTATTTATAAGCTCAGGCTCTCTCTGAGTCTCGGAGATCTCAAGGTCATTGTGGTTTGTTTTATGTGGAGGTCCAGTTTTTAGCTCAGCTCGATCGATGTTTTATTGTAAAAGCGTGCATTTCAGGCGCAGATAAACAATCCCTGTGTTTGTTTGATGGAAATGGAAGACGCTCTGGATCAATACAGCCTTGTGAGGAGGGAAGACAAACCAGATGAAAACCAATCTTAAGCTCTGTCTATATTGATAAAAAAAAAACTTAATCAATATTATTTTATATCATTTTTCCTCTCTTCATTTTCTTTTATCTCTTGCTTTATGCTTAAAAAGTTTTAAGCTTAAATCTGATATATCTATTTATATAATGTCACACTCCAAAGATCGCTGCACGATGTATGAAAACCATTCAAAAACCATACTATTGCAAAGTGAATTCAATTAAATAAGTATATACCCTGCTGGTTTAATATACAGTATATGCGCTTTAATTATTTACATGCGTGTAGGTTACATGCTTATGCGTCTCAAACTCCAGTTTGGGTTGCTTATAACGATCATCTGGGAATGCAATGTGCACCATTTCATTAGATTAGTAAGGTAAATCATTTATAAACCTACGCCAACAGCAGAATACCTCAGAATGTTTCTGTTCATCGCGATTTCAAAATAAAAGTTTAAACTCTCGCTCTGAGTTTGCATGTTATGTATATTATATTATGTATTTAAACAATGTTGTTTAATAAAACCATATGATTACTTTCTTTTGATACTTTATTTGAACCAAATATTATTACCTTTTTTAGAGACTATTGTTTGCTTATAGGTCTAATTTTATTACCACAAAAATAATCATATTTCTCGATTAATCGCCAAAATAATCAACGACTACTCGATTATATGATTACTTTCTTTTGATACTTTATTTGAACCAAATATTATTGCCTTTTTTAGAGGCTATTGTTTGCTTAGGTCTACTTTTATTACCACAAAAATAATCATATTCCTCGATTAATCGCCAAAATAATCGACGACTACTCGATTATATGATTACTTTCTTTTGGTACTTTATTTGAACCAAATATTATTGCCTCATTGTTATTCTATAAGTATTTTAAGTCATTTTAAAGGCTATTGTTTGCTTAGGTCTATTTTTCTTACCACAAAAAGAATAATATTCCTCGATTAATCGCCAAAATAATCGACAACTACTCGATTATATGATTACTTTCTCTTGATACTTTGAACCAAATATTATTGCCTCATTGTTATTCTATAAGTATTTTAAGTCATTTTAAAGGCTATTGTTTGCTTAGGTCTATTTTTATTACCACAAAAATAATCATATTCCTCGATTAATCGCCAAAATAATCGACGACTGCTCGATTATATGATTACTTTCTTTTGATACTTTATTTGAACCAAATATTATTGCCTTTTTTAGAGGCTATTGTTTGCTTAGGTCTATTTTTATTACCACAAAAACAATCATATTCCTTGATTAATCGCCAAAATAATCAACGACTACTCCATTATATGATTACTTTCTTTTGATACTTTTTAAGTCATTTTAAAGTTTATTGATTGCTTAGGTCTATTTTTATTACCACAAAAATAATCATATTCCTTGATTAATCGTCAAAATAATCGACGAGTACTCGATTACCATAATAATCATTAGCCCTACTACATTCATTCAAGTGCAATTATTAAACCATTCAAGCGTGATAAGACGCAAATCTATACCGGCGTGCTTTGAGGTTTCTTTCGTGCTTGAACAGATAAAAAACACAAAATTGCCAAAATTCCCATTTTGTCGAGCATCCTCGTAAGCGCAGTCTGAAATGAGTGTTAAAAGTGTTAAATAAACGTAAAAAGTTGATAGAAAATAGGATGTGTCAGTTCTGTGTCATGCGACGACTGCAGGTCTTAAAGTGACAGCAACCTAATAAACCTGCTGATGTATTGTGTTAGTATTTTACAGATCCTGCAAGGTAAACGTTTGATCATGACTGTATACTATATATATACATATATCATAATAAATCTAATCTTAATGTGCCAAGTAAGTTGATCTTGTTTTAAGAGTGTTTAGAAATTTTACTTGGAATCAAAGGCAACAATAAAAAATTAAAATATTTCTGAATGTCCACTCCAGCCACACACTATTAAAACAGATTTAGGAAGAGTTTTCCCTGAAGCTCTCCGTCATGCCATGAAGAAGTCAGCGCAGAGATTTGTGGTGGAGGTTTAAAAGCAGAGATGGTTTATGGATGCTGCTCGGCCTTATTCCTCCTTCAAATAACATTTCAAAGCTGAGGAAGTGCAGCACTTGATCCGTCGCTCACTGTGTTATTCTGCTGTTACTGTTCGGCTCTGGGAAGGCGCTCAGATCTCGTGTGTAATGAATTATTAAACGTACTCCTGATGGCGATGCTTCATTTGAGGCAAAACAAAGACTTTCCACATATGGAGACTTTAATTGTGAAGTGGACTGATCTGTGCTCATCATTACACAGCTGCTGTGAAAATGAAAAATAAACATTTATTCTATAGCAGAGAGGTAATATTATATGGATTTGTTTTATTAAGTTGTTAATAATTTCCTCATGTTGTAGCAGAATAATGATCACATAACTCAAAGGAAAGAAGAATCCATTGCACATCTAGAGCTGGACTCTAGACACAGATCTAAAGTTACATGAGAGGTTTCATTTATTCACAGGAGACTTAGAGCTGAAGCTCAGTTGATTTACAGTTGTTCTTATGCTCTCTCTTTAACTCTTTATTGGTGAATGACCATTTATTAACCCTTAATGACCTATATGGGCGTCGGCGGCAAAAAATAACAGTTGTTCTCAAATGTCAAAGACCTTTTGAACCCCCATTTCCAATCCGTATACTTTAAAAAGTCCCATAAAGAGGAGATTCACGGCTTTTCTGTGATATCGGGTTAATCAGACATTCAGAAGCTCCGTAGTGAACGTGATTGCATTGTCGAGTTTTGATCAGCATTGATTCTTCAAAGAAACCTGTGTGGTTTGTTCCTCTGAGCAAATTATAAGACCTACAAAATCGATCCAAAGGGAGGCGTTCAATTAAAGGCGAAGGTTTTACGCATGTTCCGTCTTTCCCATGGCAAAGAGACTTTTAATTAAATGCATTACATTATATCTTATGTATTAACTCATCCATAAAGGTTTTTCAATGTTATCTGTGCATCATTAAATGCTCGTTAATGTCTGTTAGAATAATCAAATATAACAATTTATTATGTCAGGTAAATGTATTATTACAATTCCATAATCAATGTAAAGATAATCAATGCAAAACATTAAAGTTCTAGAACAAAGAAGAACCAATATCCAGATCTCATTTCATATGCAAAACATGAGTCACCCCCCCTGACTAACTGGGGGTAGACCATTTGCAAGGGACAGTGCACTCTTAGAAGAAATGGTTCTATTTAGAACCAGAAATGGTTCCATCCCCCGCTTCATATATGGAACTCCAAAATGGTTCTATATAGAACCATTTATTTATTTTTTTTTGGTAAAAGGTTCTATTGGCCAAGTACGGAACCCCTGGCTTCTATATAGAACCCAGAGGAACCATTTTTTAAGAGTGTATAGAACCTTTTAGGGGTTCCAAATACATGATACTGATAGAACCTTTTAAGATTCTATATGGAACCTTTTCTTCTAAGAGTGTGGAAATTAGCACTCATGAATTTACACCTTTTGGAAGTAGAGACCAATGTGGTCCTTTGTGTGCCAGTCATTCCTAAAATTTACTTTTATAAAAGCATAACAAAGAACCATAATAAATGACTTGCAATTTGGCATTAAGCATATAGTCCAGATTCCTGAAGGCTCCTGTCTCTTCTGTATGATAATGTTTTTAATTTTGTCTTATCAGAGAGGAAGATACCAGAGGAAGATTGCATCATCTTGATTGACGGGCTGAATGAGGCAGAGTTTCACAAACCGGACTATGGAGACACTGTCGCCTCCTTTATCACCAAGATCATCTCCAAGTTCCCCAACTGGCTCAAACTGATCGTCACTGTGAGAACAAGCCTTCAGGTGAGTGAGACATGAATATGTGCTGTTATCTGAGAGATTTAGCAGCAGGTCACGACCCAGTATTGGGTAGCAGGTTTGTTTTGGTGATAGGATAGCAAATTATCCCCTATTAAAAGTATATTTTATTGTTGATGTCAAAGGTTGTTAAATTAGACAGATATCAACATGGACAGCTTGTATGATGCCCTAAAACCAACAAAAATACTAAATATGTAAGAAAGCAAGAGTTTGACACCATTTAAAGGATTAGTTCACTTTTGCTGATAATTTACTCACCCCCAAGATGTCCATGTCTTTCTTTCTTCAGTCAAAAGGAAATTAAGGTTTTTGATGAAAACATTCCAGGATTTTTCTCCATATAATGGACTTCAATGGGGACCAAACGGTTCAAGGTCCAAATGAGAGTTTCAGTGCAGCTTCAAAGGGCTTTAAATGATTCCAGACGATGAATAAGGGTCTTATCAAGCGAAACGATCGCTCATTTAAAAAATAAATTACACATTTTAAGTTTTATAAGCACAAATGCTTGCCTTGCTCTGTTCTGTGATGCACGTTCTGTTCGAACTCAAAATGATGAAATCTTTTTTCAAGTCATTTCGTTCGTTGAATGAACCAAATGACTCGAAAAAATATTTGTTCATTTTGATGAATGAGTTGGTTTGTGTGACCATATAAAATAAATAAATAAACATGGTTTGTGTGACCATAAGTGAATTATTGGCTGTCTAGATCTCTCATATTTCACCCCCAAATCAAAAAGGAAATACACATTATATTTTGCTGTCAGGTTCTGGAAGTAAAAACTCCATTAAGTTTCTCCATAGGGAAATAGATTTTAAACGATAACTTATAAACCTTAAAAGACAGACTACTGTGAGCTAGAAGGTTGTTAATCAATGGTATTCTGCTGAAGCCGTCCACCCACATCATTTTTTCAGCTTTTTTTTTAAATAATCCTGTTTAATGGTGAAAACCCATGATTATGTCACCCATGATGCTGTAGAATAGATGAAATTCCACCAATCAGAGAATCGAAACAAGCAAAGTACAGCAAAAGAGCTCTTTAGCTCTGCCCACACTTTTAGAAGAAATGGTTCTATTTAGAACCAGAAATGGTTCCATCCCCCGCTTCATATATGGAACTCCAAAATGGTTCTATATAGAACCATTTTTTTTTTTGGTAAAAGGTTCTATTGGCCAAGTATGGAACCCCAGGGTTCTATATAGAACCCAGAGGAACCCTTTTTTAAGAGTGTATAGAACCTTTTAGGGGTTCCAAATATGTAGCGCTGATAGAACCTTTTCTTCTCTACGCTATCAAAATACAATATATACTGTATATATAGTTTTTATACATGTAATCAACATTTTTAAATGTGCAGTTTTATATTTTACCTCGATTATGCTGTGCACAATGCTTCATAGGATTATAGTTCTTTCCTTCATTAAAGGATTAGTTTACCCTAAAATGAAAATGATCCCGTAATTTACTCCCCCCTCAAGCCATCCTAGGTGTATATGACTTTCATCTTTCAGCCAAACACAATCAGAGTTATATTAAATATATCCTGGCGTTTCCAATCTTTATAATGGGAGTGAATGGTACCTTGGTAAGCCCAAAACAGTGCATCCATCCATCATAAAAGTGATCATACGTCATGCGTCGGGTCAGAGGTAAACCCATAGTTTATAAAGTTTCTATTATTGATATTTTGTAATTATTTTAAATCCCTTTGGGAGAAATGAATGGAAAAAATACTTACGAAATCAGCACCGTTGCACTCTATAGTCTTCTTCTTATTTTGTCCTTTCATTTGGTGGTGAGAAGTGTTTTTGTCAGATTCCCCCATAATCTCCTAATGTGCTCAGATCAGGTTTAGACATTTCATATTCTCTCCAGCTCGTCTTGTCACTTTGGGCAGGAGAATCGTGTAGCTCTAATGGGGAACATTGACCCTCTAAATGAGACTGTATGACAGCTAGACAGTAATGCAGACAGTAGGAGGCCGAAAGGAAAAGGGAGCGACTCGAGAGCGAGAGAGTGTTCGTGTCGGCGGCGTTTTGACAGCTTGAAAAAGGTAGTGCTCGACTAGCAGAGCAGAACCATCTACTGTTTGATACGTGTCAGACGGCAGATTGGAGTGTGTGTGAGTGAGAGCACGAGCACAAATGTGTGTTTTTGTACATCTGTGTGTTAAAGCCTCCTAATGCGTTCGCCGTCTAGCTGTCACTATAAGTGAGGAGAGCCAGTCTAGGACTGAACGATATTTTTCAGCCTTTTGACTATTTGTTATGCGTCTTGATATTTATGTATTTGCTCTGTAATTGTTTAAAAGGGAGATTTTTTTTTTTTTTTTACTGTCACTGTAGAATAGTAGCAGTAAAATACAATAAAAACTGTTTTTTTCACTAAATGAACACAAGGTAGATTCATATGTAATATGTTTTTTATGTATATGCACCAATATAACAATACATACTTAAGCAAATATTTACCCACAATATCATTCAAAAGTTTGGGGTCAGTAAGATTTTTTTTTTTATTTTTTTTTAAGAAAGAAATTATTTTTTTCAGCAGACACATAACTTCGTAGTAATAGGTTGTAATAGAATCTATTGTCACAAAAACAGTGTTAGAGTTGCAATGTTTGATTCATTCCAGTGAATCAGTTCAAACTGTGCATTTCACTGAATCAATTCAATGATGCATTTGCATCATCACTCAGAAAATGTTCATGAAAGTGTCCACATTTTGATTAATTAACCCTGTAAAGCCTGACAAATGCAATAACAGTCTGAAAAATCAAAATTTTGTGCATTTTGGCTGGGCAAGGAAAAATCTGAACCGGTCTGACTGGGCCAGCGGAAAAAAAAAAAACTAGTGTTGAAACCTTATATCGTAAAAGCACAGCTAAATGTGTCATTTATTATAAGGGGTTTATGTGAAGATTAAGATCACTTAAATTAAAAGTTGTTATATTTTTAAAGTCTAATAAATGTTAAAATTAAAAGCTTTCATTTATATCGTAATGTTAAATGGATATAATTATTGGTTAAAATTGAGCAAAAGTCTATTTCATAGAGACATCAGTAGCAGTATTGGCATTCATAAAAAATGCATTTATTTGGAGATTAAATGTGAAATTATTACAATATAAAATATATTAAAAAGTTTAATGTTAGGTGTGATTAATTGCGATTTATTACAGAAAATGTGTGATTAAATAGTTGATTTTATATTAGTCAATTGATGGCTGTTTTTTTAGTAAAGTTTTGGTCATGTCAATTAGAGATTTAATTAGAGATTTAGAGATTTCTGTATCAAATAAGATAGGCTTTACAGGGTTAAAATGTATGTGAAAATATATTAAATTTAATTAAACTTTTTTTTTTTCATTATTTGATATTGTCAAATACCTTCATCTGGTACATCACTTCAGAGATTTTTGTTTCATTAGTTTGTTTTCCTGACATAAGTGTTAGTTCAAGGTCTAAAAACACTGTAAATGTAAACAAATATACACTTTTTTACAAGTCTTTTTTCTCACCATTTAAAAAAAAAAGTTAATAATAACATTTAAATAGATTTTTCCCCCATATGGTCTTTTTTTTTTTTTTTTTTACTGTTTAATGTTTGTGTGAAGGATTTTTTTTAATTGTGAATTTTTTGGGGGGATATTAGAAAAATATTTTTTAATGAGAATTTGTCTTTTGCAAAATATAAAATAATAATTAACTAAAATCAAGCTAGTCTTTATGACTAATTATAATGTTAAGATTTTTTCTAATAGCTTTTATGGAAGAAAAAAAACAACTGAATTCATACTGTATACGTCAAAAAATCAACAATTGCCCTCTGGGAAAACGAGTCCTGTCTAAATAAGGGTGTATTCACACTAGCAAAGTCCGCTAGTTCACTTGCTTTGGTCCGGACCAAATACAATGTTGATTTTTTGTTTGGTGTGGTTCGCTTTCACACTGCCCTTTTTGCAAGTGAACCAAAATTTGTAAACAAAACCACATGTGTGCTAAGGTCATCCATTCATTGGACAGAAATGCGACCTGTAGCAAAATTGGTTTGGAACCGGACCGAGACCAACTCATCAGCTGGGTCTCGGGACGGTTGTTTGGTTTGCTGTATTCACACCTGCCCAAAAGATACGCAAACTTGAGTTGGATTCAATCACACCAAACAAACAAACAGTTTTATGGGATATCTCCATCATGACATTCCCAACCTGTCTTTACAGGAGATCACCAGTCTTCTTCCCTTCTCCAAGATCAGCCTGGACGAATTCTCAAACAACGATGAGATCACGACGGACCTGAACGCCTACATACAGTACCGAATCAACGGCAGCCAGAACATACTCAACAACATCTCCCTCAACGGCAAAGCCGACCCCGTCATCGTGGGCAAAGTCAGCTCCCACCTGACCTCCCTCAGTCAGGGGTCGTACCTGTACCTCAAACTGACCCTTGACCTCTTCGAGAAGGGTCATCTGGTCATCAAGAGCGCGAGTTACAAGGTGGTTCCCGTCTCTCTGTCGGAGCTCTACCTTCTGCAGTGCAACATGAAGTTCATGTCTAACTCGGCGTTCGAGCGGTCCGTGCCGGTCCTCAACGTGGCGCTGGCGTCTCTTCACCCCTTGACGGATGAGCAGCTGTTTCAGGCGCTGAACGCGGGCAGCGTGCGAGGAGAGCTGCTGTGGGACGACTTCCAGCAGAGGATGGAGACACTCTCGTGTTTCCTCATCAAACGGAGGGATAAGACTCGGATGTTCTGCCACCCGTCCTTCAGAGAGTGGCTGGTGTGGCGAGCGGACGGAGAGAGTTCGGACTTCATGTGTGACCCCAGGTGAGCGTCAGTGTTGTGCACTTTGCCGTTTACTAAAAATGTCTTGCAGGAACTTGAGAGAGTGGAGGAAAAACTGGACTACGCTTTCCTACATTTGGTTACACAACATAGTTAAGTTTAGTAATGTTGACTGTTTTGGCTGGGTTATATACACTACAGCTGACTATTTCTTTTATGTGTGTGTGTGTGTGTGTGTGTGTGTGTGTGTGTGTATATATATATATATCTGTCTATATAAGTCTCTGAAACGATTAATTGCATTAAAAAATTGTGTTTACATTATCTATGTGTCTGTACTTTGTATAATTATTTAATATATATAAATACACACACATGCATGTATATATTTAAGAAAAATCTGTTATTTATATATAATATATATTAGGGCTGTGCAAAAATTAATTGCGATTAATCGCATCCAAAATAAAAGTGTGTGTTTACATAATATATTTGTGTGTGCTGTATATAATTATTTTGTATATATATATAAATACCTATGCATGCATGTATATATTTAAGAATTATTTGCACTTAAATTATGTATATATATATATATAAATGCATAATCTATATTATATAAATATAAATATTTTATATATGAATAACAAATTTTCTTAAATATATACATGCATGTGTGTGTATTTATATATACAAAATAATTATATACAGCACACACAAATATATAATGTAAACACAGACTTTTATTTTGGATGCGATTAATCGCAATTCATTTTTGCACAGCCCTAATATAAATATATATACAGTATGTAAATATTTCTTAAATATATACATGCACATGTGTGTATTTATATATATATAGAAAATAATTATACACGGTACTCACACATATATTATGTAAACACAAACTTTTATTTTGGATGTGATTAATTGCGATTAATCGCTTCACATTCATAACACTGCGAAGTGGTGAGTCAGCATTATCAACTTCCTCTTTTCAGTCAAGAATGACACAGAAAACATTAGTTTATTGATAAACAATTAAAATGTCTATATTTGACACATTCGTTAGCCTACTTTTGCCGGTTCTTTGTGGCAAGCTTTCTGAGTCCGCTAACTAATCGAATATCATGACTGCCTATTTTGTCAGGCAATTTATGGTTATTATTTCATAGTCTTTTTTTATTTCACTGCCTACAGCGCGCAAGGTTTTCTGCGCATGCCCTGAGTCTTCTTCTCGCATTTTTAGTGGATCTCTATGGCAGAATTACAGCGCCACATACTGGTCTGGGATGTCTACTACATCGTTTTCAGTCGGTATCAGTGGTTTCGTGTGGACGCAGATATTTTTCGAGACGCCGGCGTGTTTACAAACTTTTTTTTTAGAACGATAGGGGAAGCTCTGGCTTCGTGTGGACGTGGCCTTAGACAGATTTGTGAACAATATTTGACAGAAATAGGCCTTTTGTGTACCTCGAAAAAGTCTTAGATCTTTGAGTTCAGCTCATGAAAAATGTGGGCAAAAACAAAAGTGTTGCGTTTATAATTTTGTTAAGTGTATATTGTATGTTTAAACGGATATTTAGGTAAGGAGGTTGTTCTCTTTCATCTGTTGAGCTCCATACAACATTGAATTTACTGACTTCATTAAAATTATAGCAGGAGTTTCTTGATTGGATACAGACAGATGCGAGATTCCAGATCTGTCTTCACAGTCGGGCTAATGCAATATCGTGATCTCCTTGATGAGATGATGAAAGCCAGTGCTGATTTAAGATATCTGTGCAACATCCCGTTTCCTCTTATTTAATTACTTTGAAATAAATTACTAGTCCAGCTTTGATGACAGTCAGACGTTACTAAAACCAAAAACTCTTCATGAATTGAAATAAATCAATTGCTGAAAAAAAAATAATAATAAAAAAAACACAAGACTAAAGACTAAAGCTTTAAAAAAAAACTATGTAGTCATTTTTTTAAAAATATCAAAACGATTATAAAATAATTCTGAATCTTGTGTCACCCTTCAATATATATAAACTACCGGTCAAAAGTTTTAGATTGGTAAGATTTTTTATGTTTTTAAAAGAAGTCTCTAATGCTCACCAAGGCTGCAATTATTTGATAAAAAATACAACAAAAAAAACAGTAATATTGTGAAATATTATTACAATTTAAAACAGCAGTTTTCTATGTGAAATATATAGTGAAGTGTAATTTATTCCTGTGATCAAAGCTGAATTTACAGCATCATTACTCCAGTCTTCAGTGTCACATGATCCTACAGAAATTATTATAATATGAGGCTCAAGAAACATTTATGATTATTATCCATGTTGAAAACAGTTTTTTTACATTTTTATTTCAGGATTCTTTGATGAACAGAAAGTTCAAAAGAACAGAATTGATCTGAAATGGAAATTAAGCTTTTGTAACATTAATCACTACCATTCAAAAGTTTGGGGTCAGTCAGAATTATTTTTTATTTTTGAGGGAAAGAAATTAGAAAATACTTTTATTCATCAAGGATGAGTTAAATTGATCAAAAGTTACAGTAAAGACATTTATAATGTTAGAAAAGATTAAATTTTAAATAAATTCTGTTCTTTTGAACTTTCTATTCATCATAGAATTTGGGGGGGGAAATGGTACACGACTGTTTTCAACATTGAAAATAATAATTGATGTTTTTTGAGCATAAAATCAGCATATTAGAATGATTTCTGAAGGATCATGTGACACTGAAAACTGATGTGTAACCAGAAACAGTAATCTTGAATCAGTAATCAGATGTTGAAAATTCAGCTTTCAAATTACATTTAAAAATATATTAAAATAGAAAACAGTCATTTTAAATTGTCATAATATTTCACAATATTACTGTTTGTCATTTTTTTTCATCAAATAAAGCATTTAAAAACATAAAAAAATCTTACTGATCTAAAACTTTTGACCGGTAGTGTATATATACAGTATATATATATATATATATAGACACAGTCACTTGTTTGGTACAGATGCTGATGAGCTGTGGTGATCTTAGACTAATTGGGATTCTGTCCCTCTCCTATTCTCATTGCATTTTGTGTCTGAGCGCTCTGATTGGCTCGTCTGTGTCCTATTCATAACTCGCCTTCCTGAACCCTCTCCGGGTTCGGGCTAGAAAAGTTGGCACTGAAAAAGAGGGACTCCTAAAGTTCCCTGCGACTCTGCCTTGTTATTCCACCGCTTAAAGAGGGCGAAAAGAAAGGAGCCGGAATGAGTTTAATGTAGAGGAGATATAGTGCTGATCAAAGCCAGCTGCATTCATGCGTGGCCTTTTAATGAAGCTGGGTTAATTAACACCAGTGAGAGCTGGGGAACACTATCCCACCATTCTCCTGCGTTCCAGACCGACCCAAGGCATGCCAACACAGAGCCTTGCATCAAATATACAGCGCTTTTAACCAAAGATTTACCTCACAAGAACCTCGTTTGATCTCAGAGATTAAAAGATTTGACCTGAAATTACATGGAATTGATCCTTCATTAAAACATAAGGGAAAAAATCTGATTTTGTAAAGGCAGAAGCTGACGTGAAAATGTTCTTCTATGCACACTGTTAGTGAACTAAACAACACTTGACTTCAAAGCACTGCATATTAAATCGGTGGCATCCACTTAACATTTTAACATTAAGCTGACATTTTTCTTGTTTTTTTAATTAAATTGTAATCTGAATGGTCTTAACATTTGGCAGTCAAATAACGAGTCAAGAACTTGATGTTAAAAACCACATCTCAAACAAAATTGTTCATAGTCTCATATTTAAAAAGCTTACAGGCATTTTCAAATTCATCCTTCACCCTTTTGCTCTCATCAAGGACATTAATGAGAATAAATGTTTTGATTAAACATTCAAAAAATACTGTGGTAATAAATAGCAAGAGTGAGCGAAATATAAAAGCTGGATTATATTGTGTTTGTGATAGGCTCTTTTTGGGCAGACGAGAGTGTTTTTTTTTTTGCCCACTGGTTCTGTCTCTGTGCGCTACTCCTCATCTTATTTTGTCATAAATGCGTGTGTGTTGTGGGACAGGCGTTCACACAGCGTGTGTTTCTCTGCAGGAGTGGACATGCACTGATGGCCTTCATGTTGTCCAGGCAGGAGGGGAAGTTAAACAGACAGCAGACTATGGAGCTGGGCCACCACATCCTGAAAGCACACATCTTCAAGGTATCTATCTATCTATCTATCTATCTATCTATCTATCTATCTATCTATCTATCTATCTATCTATCTATCTATCTATCTATCTATCTATCTATCTATCTATCTGTCTGTCTGTCTGTCTGTCTTCTGTCTATCTATCTATCTATCTATCTATCTATCTATCTATCTATCTATCTATCTATCTATCTATCTATCTATCTATCTATCTATCTATCTATCTATCTATCTATCTATCATCTATCTATCTGTCTGTCTGTGTGTCTATCTGTCTGTCTGTGTGTCTATCTATCTATCTATCTATCTATCTATCTATCTATCTATCTATCTATCTATCTATCTATCTATCTATCTATCTGTCTGTCTGTCTGTCTGTCTTCTGTCTATCTATCTATCTATCTATCTATCTATCTATCTATCTATCTGTCTATCTGTCTATCTGTCTATCTGTCTATCTGTCTATCTATGGTTTTTATCTATCTATCTATCTATCTATCTATCTATCTATCTATCTATCTATCTATCTATCTATCTATCTATCTATCTATCTATCTATCTATCTATCTATCTATCTATCTATCTGTCTGTCTGTGTGTCTATCTGTCTGTCTGTGTGTCTATCTATCTATCTATCTATCTATCTATCTATCTATCTATCTATCTATCTGTCTGTCTGTCTGTCTGTCTTCTGTCTATCTATCTATCTATCTATCTATCTATCTATCTATCTATCTATCTATCTATCTATCTATCTATCTATCTATCTATCTATCTGTCTATCTGTCTATCTATGGTTTTATCTATCTATCTATCTATCTATCTATCTATCTATCTATCTATCTATCTATCTATCTATCTGTCTGTCTGTGTGTCTATCTGTCTGTCTGTGTGTCTATCTATCTATCTATCTATCTGTCTGTCTGTCTGTCTGTCTGTCTGTCTGTCTTCTGTCTATCTATCTATCTATCTATCTATCTATCTATCTGTCTGTCTGTCTGTCTCTCTGTCTGTGTGTCTATCTATCTATCTATCTATCTATCTATCTATCTATCTATCTATCTATCTATCTATCTATCTATCTATCTATCTATCTCTCTATCTATCTCTCTGTGTGTCTATCTATTTATCTATTTATCTATCTATCTCTCTGTGTGTATCTATCTATCTATCTGTCTGTCTGTCTGTCTGTCTGTATGTCTATCAATTCAATTCAATTCAAATTGCTTTATTGGCATGACTGTACATATTACAATATTGCCAAAGCTTGTAACACATAGTATAGTGAAGACATCAATAAAAACAAAGTATTATAACAACTTAAATTGAAATGTACAAATTAAATTAATTGCAAAAAATAACTGACATATAAATGTATCATTCAAATATTTCTTATATAATATTTATAATGTGTGTGTGTTCCTTTGAAGGGTCTGAGTAAGAAGACCGGTGTATCGTCCAGTGTTCTTCAGGCCTTATGGGTCAGCTGTAGTACTGATGGTCTGTCTGCTGCTTTGGCCTCTCTTAGGAACCTCTACACTCCCAATGTCAAGGTCAGCACATACCGTCTTCAGCGTTCTTTGTTCCAGGATTTGTTTGCCCATGTTCTCCACTCAAGTTTCACAATTTTCTTTCATAAATAGACTTTTTAAAGGTACTCTATCTCACTTTTTGGCCCTCTATCGGTTAAAAAAAACGAAGAAAGAACATTGTTTTGGTTGTGCTTCGGCTATGCATTTAGACTGTTTGTAGTTGTGTTCTTCATATAATACCTGGTGTTGATGTGTAATTGTATCTACACATATCACTCAAAGAGAGCCAATTAGAATGCAGTGTTTGCTTCTGACCTTTGACCCTTCTCATCTTCCCTGTTAAAACTCCTAATGCAAACATTTATAATGAGACATGGTCATTATAACTGCTGAAGTCCATCGTTCAGACACAGTTCAGAGATGTCACTTCATTTATTCAATAATGTGTTTATATTATAAATGAATTTCAGAAATTCCCATGAAATGACCCAAGCACTGATGAGCTCTTCTTAACACTGAGTTTGATAGTAGAAAGTTTCCACCGACATTGGGATATTTGAATACAATTTCACATTGTTGTAATGCAAAACAGTCTTGTGATTGTCTGTATTGATCAAACGCTGAAATCCTCTGTCAGATTAAACCCGCATGTCTTCACTCCATCGGTTTGACATTTTAAGTAATTACCAAACCATTTTAGTTTTAGGTCATTTAAAGTAAAGTCGTCCAGATGATTCATCTGAGCAGGACTGTGTGTGTGTGTGTGTGTGTTTGATAGAGGTCGGCCGCTGCACTGAGACTCCAGAGCAATTATCAGCAGGAATGATGGATTTTAGCTTAAAGCAAAAGTGATTTTATTTTCATCCTCATCTTATATGTCCTCGTCCTTACGGTTCTTCCTCCCAGCGCGTCTTCTTTTGAACACTATAGACTGCAAGCACACATTGCTCACAATGACAGATGCAATGAACTTTCTCTACCCTTTTTTTTTCTTCAGATGAGTTATGTTTCTGGTTTTAGGTCCATTTAAAAAATTGCATTTTGACATTTTCATGCATTTACCCTTTAAATCAGAATTATGATAATGGAATAATATGTTTTATTTTTTTAATTTTTTTATTGTATTTTTTTTATTACAAACAGAAGAATATATACATATATACACACACACATATGCATATATACATACATATATATATACAATTTCTTTATATAAAATTAGAACAAAAAAGAACCCAAAAACAAACAATAGCAAACAGAAAAAAACTAAACAAAAATGCTGTACAGTGCAATCTAGTGACACCTTTGTATCCTTAGTGTTTTATTTGCTATAATAGACTATGATTACATCCATTATACAATTACTCAATTTCCTACAAATTCCTTCCATCTCTTCCACAACAGAGCCCCTTTTTAATATGTTTTATTTTTGAGTTTTTAATGAATAATTACTGTAATACACCATAAATTCATGACAATATAATAAGTACTATTATATCTATAAATGGTATATATATTATATACTGTACATGGTTATATTTGTGGTGTTATGAGAATACATTTTGGGGAAATGTGCTTAAAAGTAAAAAAAAATCCTAAAATGTTTCATTTTTAATGCTGTATATATTGAATATATTATATGGATGTAAAACCCTTAAGTTCCTAAAACGTTCGATTTTGACATCTTAATTTCAAAAGGCTATATCTTAAAAGTGATAAAAGATAGATGACCCAATCTAATTTGCATATTATGACATCATATGGTAGTGGCAATCTTGGATTATAGAATTTTCATGAAAAGTCACATTTAAATGATAAAATGCAGCACTTCTTTCCCCCCAAAATGTCCCTCACCTTCTGTATGCTATATTGCACAAACCTGAATGCGCAGGTAAATAGTAAGTAGTAAACAAACTGTGTAAATCATTACTAATAAATGGTAGAAACATTTTAGAGGGTTTAACTCTTTCATTGCAAGTTGATTAAACATGGTATTCTCAGTTCCTGCTAACTCGCTTGTACCAAACTATAAAATGTATTTGTTTTTTCTCCTCTCAATGTAAACGAGTCGTCCTTGAATTCTTTACAATGAATGTTAGTCGAGTTTGGCCCCTGTAATTGCTGTGTGCAGCTGTATTATATATTTATCTTTTGTCTCTTCTTCTCCATCTCTCTCTCTGTTCCTCAAGGTGGAGTCTAAACAGTCTCATGTGGTTTTGCTAAATAAACCCAATTTCATTTCCAGGCGTTCTCAAGCCTCCGGGGCCGCGCAGACGCTGCTGATTAAACGTTTGTTATTCATATGCTTATCAAAAGCAGAATCCTGGCTGATTAACGACTGGGACACAACGTGCCGCCTCGCGCCGGAGCTCTTAATGAGTCTGTGAATTGTGATCAGCATGCTCTACCAATCAGCAGTTTGTTCATAGTGAACTTTGAACACAGGATGAGGGATTGTTTGACAAAGAAAGACACAATATGACGGCTGGCTGAAGATAAATGACAACCGACAGCTCCGAACGACTGAAAATCAAAGTCGATTTTAGGGATTTGGTTGAAGGGTCTGAAAGAAGTTCTTGATTTGCTCTCATACATCATTTGTCAGTCTCTAAACTGTCTGTTATCTGTCTCTAGGTGAGCCGTCTGCTGATGCTGGGTGGTGCGAATGTCAACTATCGTACGGAGGTGTTGAACAACGCCCCGGTCCTCTGTGTCCAGTCCCACCTGGGCCATCAGGAGATGGGCGCGCTGCTGCTGGAGTTCGGAGCAAACGTGGACGTGGTTTCAGAGAACGGCATGAGCTCTTTGTGTTACTCAGCGGCCGCTGGTCATCTGGGGCTGGTCAGTCTTCTCTGTAAGAGAGGAGCCAAGGTAGATTATAGATATATATATGTATTTATTTTCAGTGTTGGGGTTACAATTATTGTGCATTACGTAATCAGATTACTTTTTTGATGTAATGAGTATAGAAATGCATTGCTTTGTATATATTTAGTTATTAATATTTGAGTTATGCAAGTTACTTTTCACTTTCATAAATTAGCTGTATTAAAATTCTCTTCTCCATAACGTGGTTACTTAGACATGTACACTCAGATTTTCCAAAAAAAACATTACTTTCAACCTCCTATATATATGTATGTGTGTGTGTGTGCATATTTACTAATTTATTTTTGTATGATTATATGATTTTATATGATTTATATGATTAAAAATGTTGGACAGGACTTTATTTTATCCGTATGATTACTTGAATTGGTAAATTTGGGCTTTGGAAATAATATGCACAAATAAAATATTCCTAATAACAGCAGAACCGTTTATTAGGTAAACAGGGTTTACTTTGCATTTATGAATTTAGAAGATGTTTTTATCCCAAGCGAGTTAAAAAAAAATATGCCAAAGTGTCAAAAATTAGGAAGCAAGCTAGAAAAGATGCGAAAATTATATATATATATATATATATATATACATATATGTTTTTGATTTCTCTTTGATTGACTCTTAATCGATACCGCTATTCTGAGACTTGATCTGTGTGCATATATTCATGTTACATGCATATTGATTAATTTACACATGGCGTTTGTGGTCAGGTGGATCACGTGGACAAGAGTGGCCAGTGTGCGCTGGTGCATGCAGCCCTGCGGGGTCATTCAGAGGTCATCGAGTGTCTGCTGGAGCAGAGCTGGAGCACTGAGGGTCAACATGACCTGAGCCTGAAGAACAAAGCCCTGCAGCAGGGGTTCATAGCGGCCTGCAGTATGGGACACATTCATGTGAGCGCGCACACACACACATGCCAATGGCAAAACTTTTCTATTAAAATGCACTTCTGCCTTTTATGATTTGTTTTTCAGAACACAGTGTGTCGCCCATTTTGTGTCAAATGCTTCACTTGAGTCATAAAAATAATGAATAAATGCTCATCTACACTAGTTGCTACTGAACAATTACAGCTGGTACATATAAAATCAAATTGGCATAAAACGTAAATAATGCAGAAGATCTCATAACACAATAAAGGATCTCTTGGAATACAGTATCATTTTGATTACTCTGTGTTGTCAGCCATAGCAGTAGATATTGATTTATTCACTGTTTGTGGGTTGTTGTGGGTGTTTTCTTCACAGTGTTTTCAGAGCTGATTTTATTTCATTTTTTTACACACTTTATATTAGCTAAACATTAAACTAACTATCTGACAGTAGTGTCTGCAAAAACAACCACACTAAACCCCTAATTAAACTTACTAAAAAAACCCAGAGGAATTCATTACAGGGGCATTTTTGCCTTTATGAATATCTCATCATTTATTATTTCTATATCTCTTTATACAATACAGATTGTTTCAAAGCAGCTTCACAGTTAAAAAACAGGGAAATAACAGAATCAATAATGCAAACTTCATCAAATTCAAGTTCTGCTGTAAGGCAATAGTGTAGTGATTCAGCTCAAGTCGGTTCAATGTTGATTCAGTTCAGTTTAATAACAGTGATGATGTTGCAAAATTCATCAATTATGAAACAAAATCGATTCTGCCAACAAGCAGCTCTATCTGATGGTGTCAGTGCTGACAAATTTGTTTTACAACCAATTCGATCAATTTCACAGTTTCTCTTCTTCACACAGTTCTCATAACCAACGTCCAGTTTGGCACAGCTGTTTAAAATGCACAAACACGTCATGCTTGTCTCAAATCTACTCATTCTTCCATAACACTAACAAATGTTGTTATCCAGCAAACACACTGTCACTTATAAAACAATTACCTAAAAATACTAACAGGCAGCAAAACAAGAATCACACTCAGTAACTGCAGACTAACGCCTGTATACTATTTTGATAGTATTTCATTTTTTTTATTACTAGAAATATAGAAAATCGCTCTCTTATTCAGTTTTATATTACCGTAAAACTTAAAATAATAGCCGAGTCCCAAATAGACGCCTGTCTCTTTTACACGCCCGATGTGGCGACAACCCGGTCTATTTTTTAGTTTCGGGTTGTTATCTTCTAAAAGCCGTCAGATCGTCTGTTTAATTTGGCCTGTTGGTACAACGAGGTTGTTTTGAAGTGAGAAAAGAATTTGTGTAATTTGAAAGTAGTAGTCCTTTAATGACCCACACTTTATCCCACATAGACAAACAGCAAAGATTGCACACCAAAGAGAATTGAAAAAAGGTGCAGAAAAGCACAATAGAACCATTTGTGTGCACCTACATACAGGCACAGTGTCGAACTGACAAAACATCTGTGTGTGTGTGTGTGCACACAAAATCTTCCAGTACAGTAAATCTTATAGCTGTTGTGAGGATGCAGTTGAACATGGCAGCCATAACAACAGACCGGTCTCAAATGTCCAGCTTTTAACCTTAAAAGGGATAGTTCACTTCAAAATGAAAATCCTGTCATCATACTCACCCTCAAGTCGTTTCAGACCTGTTTGAATTTCTTTCTTCTGCTGAAAAATATATTTTGAAGAATGTTAGTTACCAAACAGTTATGTAAATGAACCCATTGACTTCCATAGTATTTTTTTATTGTTTAGTATACCAGTTAACCTGTTTAACCCAATTAATTAGCTATTCTTAACAGTAGTGTGTAAATTGAAGAAAAAAGGAACCAGCCATTAAACAGTAGTTTGCATTATTTGTATTACAAATATTAATTAATCATGACAGTGGCGTTATTTCGATTTTGATTTAAATCACTTGTAACTTTAGCAATGTAACTTAATATTCACCCCAAAAATTATTTAAATAAAAACACAATTTCAGACACTGGAGAGTAAGTTCACAAAAGCCCATTTTTACTCTTATATGCCCTTTCCAAACCCTGATTTCAGTCCCTAAGTCTTGCATGCTGCCCACTGGGGACGTTTCAGAGTCTTCGTTTGCTGTGTTGTTTCAGTATTGCGTTTGATTTATTGTGAGATGGTGTTTTGGCAGGTGCTCGAAGGCTTGTTGATGTTGAATAATGAACTGGCGGTGCAGATTGATACCCATGACACACTGTGGGGAGAAACAGGTACGTTCAGTCTTTCTCTCACCATGTCTTTGTTTCTTTGTTTTGCTTGTACACTCTTAGAAGAAATGGTTCCATCCCCCGCTTCATATATGGAACTCGAAAATGGTTCTATATAGAATCATTCTTTTTGGTAAAAGGTTCTAATGGCCAAGTATGGAACCCCAGGGTTCTATATAGAACCCAGAGGAACCCTTTTTTTAAGAGTGTATAGAACCTTTTAGGGGTTCCAAATACGTAGCGCTGATAGAACCTTTTAAGGTTCTATATAGAACCTTTTCTTCTAAGAGTGTAGTCGAAATTTAGTTTAATTTATTCTGTAGATGTTTTGTCAGAAAATACTTTTTTTTAAATGAATGGGATAGAGCTGCTTGATCTCGAAATTTTAGCCTTTTTAAAGTATTTTATATATATAATATAAATAATCAAAATATATTGAGATGTATATTTGTTGGGATGTAATGGTTAAAAATGTTTAAAGTTTCAAGGTTTTTCCAGTAAATATCTTGTCTATTGCTATTAGAGTTACAGTGAATATGAAATCAGAGGCAAATACCAATAAACAACATTTATTTTAACTGTGATTTACTCCAACTGACACCATTACCAATATTTATTCTCTAATGATCCTCTTTTATCTGTCTACTGCATTTGAAAGCATCACTCTTAAAAAATATAAGTGCCATACATCAGGCTTTTGAGGAACGTTTATTTTCTCATCTTTGTATTATTTATAGTTGTATTGTATTGCATTGCATTATGTTTTAAAACTATATATATATTTGATCATAAAACTAAGCGTTTAATTACCATCTGACTAAAACATATTATTATCATATCAGTGACAACCAATATTTATATGCATTTTATGTAAGGTGTCTGTTATGTTATAAAGATTTTATTAATATTTATTACAAGCTATTAAAATTTCATCTCATTTTTTGGCCATATAAATATCAGTAACTGCAACAAAAATTTTTTGGGGGCCTCTAAATAGATTTTAGATGTTTTTTTCCATCCTCGAGTATGAGCTCCATGTTCTCACTATATCGGTTATATGAGTCATAAAAGGCTGATGTATCAAACATAAAAAAAAAAGTTTTTTCCTGACTATTATTTAATATGTCTGCCTATATATAGGGTTATAAGAACCATGTTTTGGGTTTTTTTAGAATTTTTTATTTTTTTATTTTTTAACACTAAAGAACCTTTCGTGCAATACAATGGCTCCTTGGATGTGAAAGGTTAAACCATTCAAAGTACCTTTAAATATTTTATTATTTATTTACGAAGTGAAATATCTGATACTAGCCGCAAAACTGCTCAAATGATAGTAATGTTCTTATATTTTTATATTTTATAAAAATTAATAAATTAATTAATTTATTATTCCCTTCCAGGCCTGTAAAAGTTATGAAAATCAATGAAATCTTATATAAATATCTATTAGCATTAGAGAAGTCTCTTTTTTTGTCCATGTAATACCTATAAAATATATATCTTTTTTAAAGACCAGTAGTCAACAATGACAGAAAAATAATGCAAATACAGTGGGAAACCTGATTTTTTTTTTCATACACAAAATAAAATGAATCAATTTCTTTGAAATCATCCTCCATAAAAAAAAAAGACATATACAGTACTAGCTGGCGTTCAGCACCAGAAGACCAGAGATGTTCATTTCTTCTGAGTGCTCTTGTGTTCTTTAATCTTCAGACCAGGATCTAACCTCTCTCCACACAATCCCACTAACAAACAGAGCTCAGAAGAAGGTCACTTCCATTATCAGACCGCCTTGAAGCAGGACCTCCAGACACACATTTCTCTTGTGTTCTCCCTATCGAGCGCTCTGGATTCAGCAGGCGCATTATAAAAGGCTTTTCCCTGAGTGAACTTTTCTGTTTGCTGGGCGTTTGTTTATGTCTTGCTGTTTATCAAGGCCATACAGTAATTGTGTTTCTACATTGTTGAAATTGCAGTCTTGATGCTGAAAACGTTATGATAGACGGAGAGTCGTCCTCATTTGACTCGTTATAACAAAAGCAAATGAGTATGAATCTCTTCACATTGCTGCATCAATCGAAGAACTCACCGCCTGTTCAGTAATTGTAGTTTTACCCGTTTTCACAGCAAGAAATGTATATCAATAATCATGTTAGTTATCTTTGATGACAATTCAAAGACTAAATGTTTATACCGATAGATTTAACAGCACAGGATGGATTCTGCTGTAGTTAATGTGTGTGTAAATGTCAGTGATAATTTACAGTGTTGTCATCATCTAGGGTGCTAAATGAATGCTAGGGTGTTGTTGCAGTATTTGAGTGGTTGCTAGGGCATGGCAAGGTGGTTGCTAAAATGTTCTAGGTTGTTGCTAGGCAGCTGCTATAATGTTTGGGGTATTTGCTTGGGCATTGTTGGCATGTTTAAGTGATTTTCTAGAGCATTTCATAGTGGTTGCTTCTGTATATGTTCTGGGTAGTTGTAAAGACGTATAGGCGGATGGATGGATGGATGGATGACAGACAGATGGATGGATGAATAGATAGATAGATAGATAGATAGATAGATAGATAGATAGATAGATAGATAGATAGATAGATAGATAGATAGATAGATAAAGCGATCGATAGATAAAACCATAGATAGATAGATCGATGGATGGATGGATGAATGGATAGATAAAACGATAGATAGATAAAACCATAGATAGATAGATAGATAGATAGATAGATAGATAGATAGATAGATAGATAGATAGATAGATAGATAGATAGACAGACGGACAGATAGATACTGTAGATAGATAGATAGATAGATAGATAGATAGATAGATAGATAGATAGATAGATAGATAGATAGATAGATAGATAGATAGATAGATAGATAGATAACTAGATAGATCGATAAAACCATAGATGGATGGATGGATGGATAGATAAAATGATAGATAAAACCATAGATAGATAGATAGATAGATAGATAGATAGATAGATAGATAGAGTAGTGAAAGTTGCAGTGTGTTTCACAGCACAATGAACTCTTTTATCCCGAAAGATCAGAGGGATTTTGATTTCTCCTGATTTTAGCGCTTTGATGTGTGTCAGATGTGCTGTGTGTGATCCAGACCGCAGATTCTCTCTGTTTATACAGTTGCATTGTGGGGGATTGTGTGGGACAGCTCGGGGTAGCAGATGCTGTGTCTCAGTCCCAGGTGGGACGTTTCAGTGAACCCGGCTTAAAAGTGCTTAACTGTAATCAAAATAACATGATGACAATGGAAAATTGCATTATGGATCTGAAAATAGGACTGATTTACTACAAGCAAAATATAGTTTTTGTAGGGTTTTGGTTTGATTTTTGAAGTCACGTGGATATAAAAAGACAGCTCTCTGGCTTCTTTCTGTCCGGTTTGTTTCTCGAGCAGCAAATAATCGAGTATATGAGCTCACGGGTCTGCTGAAACACGACCGGAGTTAAAGACGATCGAAACACCGTGACCAGAAAACGTGGACCCTCGGCTCGATGAGATCAGTGTGAATACTGGATCAGTTTATGATATTTCTGCATTACTCCATCTTTCTGCTTCTGAATAAAAGTGTCACTCTTCGGTACGGATGGCTTGAAGACATCACTAATGGCACAGGCATCTTCTCCAAATGGATGTGTGGAGTCCCGGTCCTTTAATCTCACTCAAACTGCAGAGAGCTGTTAGTCATGTGACCATCTGGACGACCCCATCAGACCCGTTCGTTTTGAGGAGAGAGACTGTGCTCTAATTAATGATCTATGAGTGATCTCTTCAGATTCTCTGGCTGAAGCATTTACCATCCTTAAAATATCACGATAATCATTCTTTTGTAATACTGTCATCAGTTCTGGAGTCAGTGCTATAAGTCCTGTTGTGATAAACTGTAACACACACCTATGATGCACCTTGAACATTAATGCATCAAGTAGAGATTATATATACTATATATATATTATAATTATGCTGTTCATGTTGTCTTAGAATTATTTAAATCACTAGATTCTACTGTTTTTATGATATATTATAATTATTAATATATTATTATTTATCTAATTATATTAAATATTTTTATACATTATTTTATTTAATTGATTAATAATTGTTATTTTTAGTTCATTTAATTTTACATCTAACAATGAGTAAAACATTTATTAATCTGTGTTAATGTTAGTTCATAAATATCCAGCTGTTCATTGTTAGTTCACAGCATCAACTAATGGATTAACATTTGATTTTAATAATGTATTAGAAAATGATTAAATTAATATTAACTAAGATGCTGTAGAAGTTTTGATCATTTTTCTGTTAACTTAAGTATTTAACTAATGTTAACTTATGAAACCTTATCGTAAAGTGTTACCATTTAATTTATATGTATTTATACAGAACTTCCCCGAAAACTATAACATGAATTAAATGCACCATAAATATATTTGACTTGACTTGAAAGGTTACAAAACGATACAAAGTACCTTTAATTATTTTACTATTTATTTACGAAGTGAAATATCTAATACTAGCCACAAAACTGGTCAAATGACAAGTCATTAGTAATTTTCTTATATTTTTATATTTTATAAAAATGAATAAGTTCATTAATTTATTATTAATTTCCACGCATCACTGCTATTTACCAGTGTTATTTTAATATCGATGATGTTCTATTATTAATTTTAGCAACATTTTTAGTCATTTTGTTTTTAAAATGTATGTCAGTACAATTTTTAGTTCGTTGTACTTCTTTGCTTTAGTTATTTTAGAATGAATATGAGAAATGTTGCAATTTTAAATATTTTTATTTCAGCGATTTTTTTTTTTTTTTTTTTTTTTTTTTTTTGATTTGAAGAAATGTTTTTGTGTTTAGTTAACGCTATAACGAGTGCCCGTGCTCTTGAATCAGGTCTGACTGCGGCTGCGGGACGGGGGAAGCTGGAGGTGTGTGAGTTCCTGTTGGAGCGGGGGGCGCAGGTTCAGCAGGGGAACAGGAGAGGAGCGTGTGCCCTGTTCTGCGCAGTTCGACAGGGACACTGGCAGGTGGGACGCTGCTAAACACCTGAACCACACAAACGTCCTCTGCAGTACTTTTTATGAATATGAATATTTATATATCTTGCAGATTGCAGATCTGTTGCTGCAACATGGGGCGGATGTGAATGTAAGTGACAAACAGGGCCGCACACTGCTGATGGTGGCCGCGTGTGAGGGGCATCTCAGCACGGCCGAATTCCTCTTATCTAAAGGTGAGTTATCCAAATGCACTCTGAACTTTGTTTATCAGCATAATCAATAGCACTTTATTTTGATAGTCCACTTTAGACATTCAACTAATATTGCAACTACATGTCAACTAACTGTCATTAGAGTATTAGTAGACTGTCTGCTTAATATCTGCTAACACTTAATTTTAATGATCCCCAACAGATATTCTAGGAACTTGGTCAACTTATAACTGTAACTCGGGGCCAAGATGGCTGCCAAATCCAATATGGCCGCTGCCCAAAAAGGGTTCCGGCTATAACTTTTGAACCACATGAGTTACAAATACAAACTTGATATGTTTTTCAGCTTATTTGGTCATGGGAACACATATTAATGTTTATATTTATGACCCAGTATATCTGGACCCCTTGATCCTCCAATTCCAATATGGCCGCTGTCTAAAAAAGCAGTTTGGGCTGTAGTATGGGGCCTTACACCCCATTATTCACACAAATTCATCTATAAGCACCAAATTTGGCACAGATATAGCTGAGGGCATACTGAAATGATTTAGCCATGGTCCCTTAGACCAAGATGGCGGCCAACTTAAAAAGGATATGAAATTTGAAAAAGAAGTCGCAAAGTCTCATGAAAAGCAAAACATTTTCTTCAAATTGTGACTGAATTTCTTTTTTTTATAATCACTTCGACATGATGACAAACACAGATCTGAATGTTGCAGTGTGATTTTGTCAAAGGTTTAATAGACACAGGCGATAAGATTGGGTGGGTGTTTGAATCGAGATTGTGATGTAGAACAATTTTAGCAGTATTATCTGTAATTTTTTCTTGAAACTCAAGCCATTTTTCAATGCCACCCCCAATATATATTTAAGTAATTAAATTCATTTTATAATATGACTGAAAGTAATGACTGCTAGTCAACTAGAAAATGATTTAGTCAGGAGCAGCCCTAGAAATAACAGAATCAATGCTGCAAACTTCAAACCTGAGACAAATTCACTTTCAGCTCGAGCACAAGAGCAAACCTGTTGTTTGAAAGTCGGTTATTGAGATAAAGTGGCAATTTTCCAGCGAGAGGTCAAACAAAACATCCTCTGCTTTTCCCAGGAGCCTCTTTAGCGTCGGTGGATAAGGAAGGGTTAACTCCCCTCAGCTGGGCATGTTTAAAAGGACACAAGAACGTTGTGCAGTTTTTGGTGGAACGGGGTGCAGTAATCGACCACTCAGACAAGAATGGACGCACACCGCTGGACCTGGCAGCCTTCTACGGAGACGCTGACATTGTAAGTGAATAACATATTGTAGAGCTGTGGAGGAGGTCGCAGGGCTCTTTCATGTGAAATACGGTTGTGTGAAGTTGCAGGACTGATGCATCAGATCATGACAGGAATCGGGTTTGTTAGCTGACTTTCGCTGCTGTAGATTTTGAATTAGTAATAAACAGGAGGCAGAATTACAATATGATTTGAAGGGAAAGATATCTGACAATGTGGGGCTGTTTGGTTAAACAAATAAACATATTTATTTTGATGGATAACAATTGGTTTTACTATTGTGATGTGTGCAATCAGTTGAGGGTATTCTAAATAAATAGCCATAGTCAAAAATAAAAGAGGTAATTATTTATAAACTACCATTCATAATTTGTGTGTTTTTAAGTCTCTTCTGCTCACCTAGGCTGCATTTATTTGATCAAATTTACAGTAAAAAATGTAATATTGTGAAATATCATTTCAATTAAAAAACAAATTCTATGTGAATATATTTTAAAATATAATTTATTCCTGTGATCAAAGCTTAATTTTCAGCGTCATTACTCCAGTCTTTAGTGTCACATGATCCTTCAGAAATCATTCTAATATGCACTCTCAGAAAAAAAAGGTACAAAAGCTGTCACTGGGGCTGTAACTTTTCAAAAGGTACACTTTTGTACCCAACGGCTGCATATTGGTACCTTAGTGGTACATATTAGCACCTAAAATGTACATATTAACACCTAAAATAGACATATTAGCTCCTGAAATGTACATATTAACACTAAAAATGTACATATTAACACCTAAAATGTACATATTAATACCTAAAATGTACATATTAGCACCTAAAATGGACATATTAGCTCCTGAAATGTACATATTAACACAAAAATGTACTTATTAGCACCTAAAATGTACATATTAACACCTAAAATGTACATATTAGCACCTGAAATGTACATATTAGCACCTAAAATGGACAAAAGTTTACCTTTTGAAAAGGTACAGCTCCAGTGACAGCTTTTGTACCTTTTTTTCTGAGAGTGTGCTGATATTTATTATTATCATTATCAATGTTAAAGGGTTAGTTCACCCCAAAATGAAAATTAAGTCATTAATTACTCACCCCCATGCTGTACCAACCCCGTAAGACCTTCGTTCATCTTCGGAACACAAATAAAGATATTTTTGATTGAATCTGAGGGCTGGATCACTCTTCCATAGACAGCCTGAGGGACTGCCTCTTGACGGCCCAGAAAGTCATTAAAAGAAAAGGTTTAAATATTCCATGTGCCTACAGTGGCTCAACTATAACTTTATCAAGCGACGAGACTACTTTTTGTGCGAAAAAAAAACGTAAATAACGACTTTATTCGACTTTCCATTACTTCCTTATGGGCGCATGCGCGAGAACTGAGACGAGACCGTTCTTCTTCGACTACTTTTTGTTACCGGCTGCTCACCGCTTAGGAGTTTTACCGCCCCCTACCGTATAAGATGACGTACTGATATAGCCGGAGGCGCAAAACGTTCTGTTTACAAGCAGTACGTCATCTTATACGGTAGGGGCGGTAAAACTCCTAAGCGGTGAGCAGCCGGTAACAAAAAGTAGTCGAAGAAGAACGGTCTCGTCTCAGTTCTCGCGCATGCGCCCATAAGGAAGTAATGGAAAGTCGAATAAAGTCGTTATTTACGTTTTTTTTTCGCACAAAAAGTAGTCTCGTCGCTTGATAAAGTTATAGTTGAGCCGCTGTAGGCACATGGAATATTTAAACCTTTTCTTTTAATGACTTTCTGGGCCGTCAAGAGGCAGTCCCTCAGGCTGTCTATGGAAGAGTGATCCAGCCCTCAGATTCAATCAAAAATATCTTTATTTGTGTTCCGAAGATGAACGAAGGTCTTACGGGGTTGGTACAGCATGGGGGTGAGTAATTAATGACTTAATTTTCATTTTTGGGTGAACTAACCCTTTAAATACAGTTGGACTGCTTTATATTTTTATGGAAACATTGATACTTTTTTTAGGATTCTTTGAAATATAGAAAGTTCAAAAGAACAGCATTTATTTCAAATAGATTTTTACCGTCACTTTTGTCGAATTTAACGCATTCTTGCTGAATAAAAGTATTAATTTATTTTCAAAAAATGATCTGACTAACCCCAAATTTTCATTCTAACACAGCATGCCGGCCACAGGTTGACAGTGATGATGTGAAGCGTGTGTTTCTGCAGGTTCATTATCTGGTTGAGAAGGGCGCTGTGATCGAGCATGTGGACTACAGTGGCATGAGGCCGCTGGATCGAGCCATCGGCTGCAGAAACACCTCCGTTGTCCTCACCTTACTGAAGAAAGGAGCCAAACTAGGTGAGATCTGCACTTCCACTGGATTATAATGATAATGAGTGTGATTGTTCAGTCATAATAGACTTAATTAAAAGAAGTAAAAGACAGCAAATAGGCACATTTCTATTGAGTCACCGTTTTGAATTGATTCACTGAAAAGGACCATTTGTCAATAGGCCACTATCATCAATAACATGAGCCTGTGATATTTATTAGCCAATCACATCTTTCCTCCTGAAGCTCTTACATCACAGTGCGTGTGTGTGTGTGTGTGTCCGTGTTTCCACTGATTTGAGCTGATTTAATTGCAATCGCTTTGCAGAATTTTAACAATATCAACATTGATGTGATAATATTAGATCTAGAGTGATTACGACAATGAGTGGGTCCTGACACGTGTTGTCTAACTCTAATAGAGTTCAGAATGTCTGTAATTGCCAATCCCAATGCATCTTTTTCATTATCTACATGGATATTAAAATCACTAACAATTAGTACTTTATCTGCAGCCGGTACTTACTCTGATAAAGTCTGTATGGTGCCTTATAGTGAGCAATTATTCTGTGATATGAATCAATATTTTTTTCCCCAAGAAAGCCGCGAATATCGATACATAAGTCCCATTCAAATCCCCGTGTTTAACTTAGCTCGTCAAGGGGCCGTTCACATATCACATGAAGTGTTTTATTTAAAAAAAAAAAAAAAAAAAGATGTTTATTAAATTAAAGATTAGCTTTCCATCCCTCATGACCCTTAGCTTGGGATTTATCCCTGATTTTTATTATTTGGTTTTAAAGCCAGTTTTCTTCAGTGGAAACATGTGGTGTTGGTGTGAAAGTGAAAGAGACTCTCCGTCTCGTCTGGTGTGACTGAGGTGAATGTATGATGCTGTATTTTCTCTTTGCATGTCTCTTTCTTCTGTTTTTCATTCTTCTCTCTTTTAACTGCTTTCACTAAAACCATCATCAGGCTACAGAACGTCACCTTATGATCGAACAGGTACACTCTTTAGGTAACTTTATTTCACGCCAGTTACATTCTTCTCCTAATCTGTGTTTTTAAAGAGCGGTTTGATGTAACGGTCCATCTATCTCTCTCTCTCTCTCTCTCTCTCTCTGTATCCAAGGTAACGCAGCCTGGGCGATGGCGACCTCCAAACCCGACATCCTCATCATCCTCCTGCAGAAGCTCATGGAGGAAGGAAACCTGCTGTATAAGGCAAGGACAGGTTCCAGTTTTGCTGTCAATTGATTTAAAATGCAAAAAAAAGTCTTCACTCTAAAAATCTTTTATTATATATAGGAGATAAAGTTGACAAACGTTTCGGCTGCAGGTCTCCAGGTGATCATGATTAAACAATCAAATAATTAGTCCATCTGAAACAGAGGATAAAGATTACAAACAATGTTGGAACAATTACACATCAGAAAAAGAAAAAAACCCAAGTTTAAACAGTCAAATAATAGTTCATAGACTCCAGTTTAATTCCATCTGGGACAGCAAATAAATAATCACTCTTAGAAGAAATGGTTCTATTTAGAACCAGAAATGGTTCCATCCCCCGCTTCATATATGGAACTCCAAAATGGTTCTATATAGAATCATTTTTTTGGTAAAAGGTTCTATTGACCATGTATGGAACCCCAGGGTTTTATATAGAACCCAGAGGAACCCTTTTTTAAAGAGTGTATAGAACCTTTTAGGGGTTCCAAATACGTAGCGCTGATAGAACATTTTAAGGTTCTATATAGAACCTTTTCTTCTAAGAGTGATTGGAACAATAACACATCAGGCAAGAAATGCCGTTCATAAACATTGTGCCCATATAAAAGAAATGGGAGAAAAAAATAAAAACAACTTATATGAAACAAGACAGATCATAATCTTCATTTAAACCTAGAGGGGACATGGTTTGTGAATTAAACATCCAAAATGCCTCTCTTTTTAAGAGTTTATTAGATTTAATTATGAAATTAAAGATTTAATTTATTAGGAAAAATGTTGTTAGGTGTTATTAATTACAATTAAATGCTCCAAATTACTGTTGACACAACATACAGTATTTTAAATATGTTTATAAAGCGTATTTTTTTATAAATGAAGGTCATTATCACCAATAACTCCTACTGAAAAATTCTATCGTAATCTTATTCATTCGGTCATTTTAATTTTCATATTTTAATGATGATAAGACATTAAAAAGCTTCTGTTTTCATTTACATTTTCATTTTAATTCACAAACTTACAAGACTAGCAAAGGCTGTGCATTCATTTATATTATGAAAAGAAAGTTGAACAAAAACAGAGTCATTTTTTTGTTTTTATCTTGAACAGTTGTCGCGGAGTGTGAGTGAACGCGATCATCCCCTTTATTAATCTGTCAAAATGACGGACGGCTTTCAGATTTATTCATCTCTTCTAAAAAAAAAAATAGGAAAATTTACAGTTAATGCGACCTTTGATATATATCTCAATTGACCGACCTTAAGACATGAGTTTTGATATGTGATATAAGTGTCTGAATGCTTATTAAAATAAAACCGGGAATGATTTTCTCCACATGCCTTGTCAAAGCGGTGAGCTTTAATCCAGGAGAAATGGGACTGTAAATTGACACATTGAGTGATTGTTATCAGAGCATAAATGAGCGATGATGTGTGTGTGACATTTAACAGATTGACGTTTGTGTCAGCTGGAAGGAATGATTGATGACTCTTTTCTCTGTCTCCTCAGAGAGGGAAGATGAAGGAAGCGGCTCAACGGTATCAGTACGCGTTGAGGAAGTTTCCCAGAGAGGGATTCGGTGACGAACTGAAGGCCTTTAAGGAGCTGCGCGTGTCTTTGTACCTTAATCTCTCCCGCTGTCGTCGGAAAACCAATGTAAGACACCAGCCTCACCGGACACCGGCTCTCCTTTAGTTATGCCTCGTTTCAACAGTCGGACGATTATTTGAACTTTTTTAGACACGTTTAAATTCATCAGGAGATTTTTTTTATTCTGATATAAATTCTGACATCAAGGGTTCCATACATCAATTATCAAAAATATTTTACAACCCCCACAATAAAGTTTTAAAATACAACAGACTGGCAGTGTCATATTAGTAATATTTATATAATATTGCAGTATTAATATTTTTATACAAATTTTGTTCTTATATTGCATTTACATTAAATTTCTATTTATATCACTATTTAGCTTTATTTTTATTTCACTTTTAGATTTATTAGATTTATATTTTATTTCTTGAACTTAGTTATATTTATATTATATTTCTAATATTAGTCAAATTGTTTTGTTTAGATTGTTTTATAGAAATACGTTTATTTAAGATTTACAGTAAGTTAACAAAAAATATGCATTATAAAAAAATATGTAATATGTATAAAATAAGAATGTCATGACAGTTGGTCAGTGTAGTATTAGCCCCGCCCCTCCTTCACTGTGATTGGACGGGTGGGTAAGAAGTGACAGTGATGAGCGCTGCGTTTTATCCAAAGTTATGAAAAAAAAAATGAAAAAAAAGAACAAAAAACTGCTTTGTGATTATATCATTCAGTCTCTTGTACGTTACGCATGTTTGAGTGCGATCATGAGCAATAATCTTCTGCTGCAGTTCACTTAACGGCCACCGGTGTCGCTAATAGCACAGGTTTCTGAATTCTACATACAGCCCCTTTAACAATCACAATGCTGAAAAATAAATAAAAACATATTAAAACAGGAAAATAAAATAACATTGATATCATCAATATGTGGGAAAACTAATAAATTAATTTATCCCTAATTAAAAACTATAAAAAATTCACAGTCCTAATAATTATTAATCATCAATTATTCTTATTATGCTTCAAGGCAAGATTGTGTGCCCATCTGGAGCAGTGAGCCGAGGTGTAGAGACGCCCTGCTAGTTCTCCTGATCTGGATCAATCAGATTGTGTTTTTTCACCGCTCAAAATGTCAGACACAGCAAGACGAGAAAGATGCAAATGACTCTCTGTGGGCTTGAATTGATTCGAGGGTCTATTCAGAAGTAATAGCTCAGCTCCAAAAGGTGTCCCGACGCAATACAGAGCCAATTTCCAGCCCGCACCTTTGATTGATGACACAATGAACAACAACTGAAGAGTTCATTAATTAAATCACCAATTATTTGGGCCGATTTACAGCTATTCAGCAGTCCTGTGGTGTGAATCGAAATTCAGCAACTCTGGCTGATTGCTGTTCTCTCTCTCTCTGACAGGACTTTGGCTTGGCTGAGGAGTTCGCAACAAAGGCCTTGGAGCTCAAACCCAAATCCTACGAGGCGTACTACGCTAGAGCCAGAGCCAAACGCAGCAGCAGGTCAGACAACCGTCTTTACTAGATTTGATCTGTCTATGCAGCTCATATTCATGTTCTCAGTTCAAATTTTTGCGTAAACCGTGATACACTACCATTCAAAAGTGTGGGGTCACAGCAAGGATGCATTAAAAGGGTCAAACTTGACAACAAAGACATTTGTAATGTTACAAAATGTTCCTTTTCAAATTAACACTGTTCTTTTGAACTTTCTATTCATCAAATAATCCTGAAAAAAAAGATTCACGGTTTCCACAGAAATATGAAGCAGCACAACTGTGTTCAACATTGATAATACTCATTAGAATGATTTCTGAAGGATCACGTGACACTGAAGATAGGAGTAAAACTAAAATATTCAAATTAATTTGTAATATTTCAAAACATGACTTTTTACTGTATTTTTTTTATCAAATAAATGCAGCCATGATAAGCATAAGAGACTTCTTTAAAAAAAAAAAAAAAACAGACATTTTTTCCAAACTTTCGACTTTATTATTGTAATATAATTAATACAAAAGTGACCTTAACCCGACCATAACCCGAAAATTGGCTGCATGTAAGCGTAGTCATTGAAAACACAGAAAGCTGGAAATGTGCATCAAAGGCAGGGAAAGAGTTAATATTATTAACTATAATAATAATAAAAGATGACTATTTGTAAAACTATGTATATGATATAATTCATAGCATCATGGTTTGAAATGTGCTGGGGACAGAGACGTACTCGGAAGGGCATTTTCAAAAGTGCTGGGTACAATAACGCATTTATTCTTTTTTTCTCTTTCGAGTAGGTCATGTTTTGAAAGACGATGTCCTGTAGCTGCTTCCTGATGTACATAAATAAAAATGAGCACAATGTCCGAGTATAGTGAGTATATAGAGTATATACGCCCTTTAATGCATATGTACAGTGATGGTCCAGAGGTAGAATTTTTGCCTAGCGTATCGGGACTCGGGAGGTTCGAGGTTCTAATCCGCACTCGTATAGTTTTTTTCCCCCTCATCAAAACCAATAATGTTTATCAGTGGTTGTATATGTTTTGATGAGGGAAAAAATATACGAGAGCGGATTAGAACCCATGAGAAACAGGGACACGTTTGTGTGCATTTTGAATTGTGATTTCACCGGAACGAATCTCCGCAACGGATTGAAGCGCGTTTCCGAGAGAAGACGACACATTTCAGTGCTAGATCGCCTGTTATTTAACAAACAAATGAAACGAATGCTGTTAACTGGAGATGTTTTATTTGTATTGGTACATCTGTGCCACGAGATTTTCAAAAGTGGTGGGGACAAAATCGACCCTGGCAAAAAGTGGTGGGGACATTTCCCAACCCGTCCCCCCCGTAAATGACGCCTACGCATTGCATAGCAAAAACATAATAGACACAATTGTTGAGTATTGTGTCATTATTTTTTGGAAAAACATCTTTGAATGATTAGGCTTGTTTCTGACTCTCTTACAAAAACAGAATTGTCTGCATGACCCTTCTCAGCTGTGATGTTTTTCTCTCCATGTGTTTCTGAACGCACAGACAGTTCAGCGCAGCGCTATCAGACCTGCACGAGGCGTCCAAGCTCTGCCCGAACAACCGTGAGATCTGCCGTCTGCTGGCTCGTGTGGAGGACGAGTGTAAACAGATGCAGCGCAGTCAGAGCAAACCTCAGGAGCTGACCGTCCCACAGGAGGAGGAGGAGCGCGTCGAGGAGGAAGAGGACGAGGACGACGACTCTGAGGCCTGGTCCCAAAGTATCTACTCGCTAAACAGAACTGCTAACGGCCGCTCGGTTTCCCCGCCTCACAAACAAAGCCTTCGACATCCACACAGAGAATCTGTGGCTCAAAAGAGCCTCAGCAAACAGGCGCAGATAGTCAAAACCAACACACAGGTGAGTTCCTCTCGACCCACAAACACTAAAAGCCAGTCTCAGTACGCGCCCTCGAGTCCGATCCCTAGCCGACACATGTTGAAGGCCGGACCGGGCATCGACATCAGCCCGTTACCGATCGCTACCACTGATGCGGGACGCCACGAAATCGAGGATCTTCATCATGTCCAAGTGCACTCATCCCTGGACGGGACCTGTGGAGCTCAAGAGGTCAGAAAAGACCCCAGCATGAGGGTCTCCAGCTCCACCAGCAGCCTGGCGTCCAGCAGCAGTTTATCAGATAAAGGCCCGGATGTGCGCGTCAAGGACAAACCTAAAATCAGCCAGACTGGCTCTGTGGAGTATAAACCCCGACCCTTCATGGGGATCATGGACAAAACGGCCCGCTTCCAGCCGCCGGCGCCGGTGTCCCGAGGCTGGCAGAGTCACTCCACTGAAGGTCTCGTAGCGTCTGGCGAGATTGTGTTCGCCAAACCGTCCGGGTCGTGTTACGAGCAGCTCAAGGGTCCTGCGATCGGCCTGCACAACGGCAACCTGCACGCGAAAGAGTTCTGCCGTAAAGAGCCCAAACCCGCTCTGGCCATGGCACATTCATTCACAGACAGTGTGCAGAAGCAGCCCGCTTCAGCTCGAGAAAACACCATTCATGTAGCGGCAATCAAACCAAAGAGGTCGTTCATTGAGTCTAATGTGTAGGAAACACACTTCAGATGGTGGCGTGTTTGTGTGTGTGTGTGCATGCGCTACTGTTCAAAAGTTTGCAGCCGGTAAGAAATAAATGGATTAAATTGATCAAAAGTGACAGTGAAGACATTTATAACGTCAGATCTTTCCTTAGTCCTGAAGAAATGAAGCAGCACAGCATTGATAATCAACATCAAATCAGCATATTAGAATGATTTCTGAAGGATCATGTGACACTGGAGACTGGACAAATTCAGGAATAAATCACATCTGACTAGATATTCACTTAGAAAACAGTACATTTGCAATATTACTGTATTTTTTCCTGATTACACTTCGGGGTCTATACGACCTCAACAATTGATTAATTGTACAAAAAATATACATTTTTAATCATACAAATAATATAGCATTTTTTTTGTTTACTTCTCATCTATGCATTAATGCTGTGTTTTTGGAGATATGAAGTACTTTTGTATCCATATACCACACAATTCCTCAACTACACCATTAGCTTGCATATGAATTTTTTTTTTTTAATGATACATTGCATTTATGCTCTAGTACTAGGCCTTCATTTCTGATTTCTGATTTTTTATTTATTTATTTATTTTGACACATTTTTTTTTTCCACATTTCCCATTCATTTCAATGACCCCGAAGACCAGAAGTGTAAACATTCCTTCTGAACAACCGAATCAAGCGTGTATAGATAGATAATGTATGAAAAGTCACGAAATCTTATAAAGGGAACTTTTTTTTTTATTAAGTAATAGTCGATTGGGGTCTTATGACCCCATGACCCGATTTAGGGCTACTCATATTAATGCATCCCTGGTGAGCAGACGAGACTTCAAATCAAAAACATTTTAAAAATCTTACCGACCCCAAACTGTTGAACGGTAGTGTGTGTGTGTAAGCATAGATTTACAATACACAGTCAAAAAGGTTTGGACTTGCTATTTTCCATATTGTAAAAGAATGTTTCAATTCATCCATTTGAAGTAATTCATATGTAGGAAGTGGAAAGATCATGAGAAAATAATAATAATAGTGTTAAAAGAACGATCACAAACAGGAATATTGGCTCAGAAGTACAGTACAGGTTGGTGAAGGCTTCTGTTGATTGGCTGAGCTGGTGCAGTTATCGGTCGGGTTCTTTAAGCCCTGTGAACATGAACCATGGCTATTTTTATGCCCTTCAAAAGGGACCGTAACGACCCCTAATCGTGTGACGTCACTGACTGCACTGAATCCGTGGAGAGCCTGTGCAGACACCTCCACGATGTAAATATCACACGTGTGTTTTACACCTGTATGTGAAGACCATTATTTGACCATTTATCTTCAAACTTTTGAGTTTTTCATGCATTTTTGGTTGATATGATGTTTGCGGTTATTAAACTTGTATCTGGTCTGTTTGTTTGTTTGTATGTTTGTATATTACATTTGAATTGAAAAGTTCTTTCCTGCTTGTTATTCCTGTCTAGGTTAATTTATTTGTGGCGCCTCTGGCTTGGTAACTGTCAAAGCAATATATTTTATATAGTTATTTTTGCACAGCTAGTTTTAAGATAAATATGAAACGGAAATGTCTTATGAAACTATGGAGGCCATCTGAGTTTGAACGCATGTGAAAGAATTGGAAAAAAATATAATTCAAACTATAAAAGTGATACGTTTGAGATGGGGAGATGTTATTTGAAATGTATATATATATATATAATTTTTTTTTCTGCAATTGGTGCCTCATGCGTTGCGATCTGTTACTGCATTCTGTATTGAAAAATGAATTTATTTCTGCCATGATCCACCTACGGGAAATAAAAAATCCCACTGGAAACGTTATTTCTTCATTATTTTTAATCCCTCTGAAGTGTTGCGCTGTAATTTGGACAAGATAGTTAATATAAGCAGGGCTGAGCCTGGTTAATACCTGGATGGGAGACCTCCTGAGAAAGCCAGCTTGCTACTGGAAGAGGTGTTAGTAAGGCCAGCAGGGGGTGCTCACCCTGTGGTCTGTATGGGTCCTAATGCCCCAGTATAGTAATGGGGATACTATACTGTCTAAGAGCACCGTCCTTCGGATGAGACATTAAACCGAGGTCCTGACTCTCTGTGGTCGTTAAAAATCCCAGGATGTCTTTCGAAAGAGTAGGGGTGTAACCCCGGCATCCTGGCCAAATTTGCTAATCTCAATCGAAATTTTGAGTTGCTCTGATCTTCTTGAAACTCTGGATTCTGATAGAGGGCCGTGAGACTTTGACCTGAGTGCAAAAATGGAGGCTCTAGGCCCTTCCAGAGCTGAGATATTGAGATATTTATAGTGGCATAAATGCTATGTGGGATCTCAATATCTCAGCTCTGGAAGGGTCTAGAGCCTCCATTTTTGCATGGCCCTCTATCAGAATCCAGAGTTTTGAGAAGATTGGAGAAACTTAATTTCTCCTCCCCCAAAAAACGACAGGGGTACCACTGTCGGTTTTTTTTTTTTTTTTTTTTTCCGGTCGAAATTTTGAGTTTCTATACCCTTCCAGAGCTGAGATATTGAGCTTCAAAGTTTTTGCATTACATATAGGAAAATGTATATGGGGAACAAGTTTCATTCAAACATGAAAATAACAGGGACCCTAAATGTATTCTAAACAATACAATATAAAAATCCTCTCAAAATTTTTAAATGGGGATTTTTGGAATGGGTCAAATTCAGATAGAACCTTCTAATTCTAAAAAAAAAAAACACTTTTTCGCTTAGAATTATAAGGTTCTATCTGCCAAAACATTATTTGAACATTAAATAAAAAAAATAATGTTGTAACAATGTCTCAACATGTGTTGGAAAGTAAAATTTTATCCTTTCTATGACATTTATTGAATATTTTTTAGCACTTCCATGTATTTAGGACATTTCAAATTAAGCAAGGTAGGTCTAAATATTTTCCCCAGTGCATAATCTTCATTTTTGATACCAATTTGGTGGGTAATTAAACACATTATTGCATAAATTATTCTTTAATCTTTCTTTTGCTTAGACAGAAAGCAGCCACTGTATTACATCCTAGCAGGACTTTATTCCAGCTAAAGTGGGCCAGGTAAAATGTCTTTCTCTCTAGACCTCAATATGGCTGAAATAACATGCAAACGTTTATTGTTGTAATTAAGACCTCATTAATTAAATTGTTAAATATTTGACCTATAAGCCTTAATATGGTAAAATTAAGACTTTAAAAACTGCAAGAAAATCGACATGCTTCTGCAAATTAATTCATAAAGTTTAATAATCATTGAAAAATTAGTCACTGACTATATAATTCTCACAGCCTTTGTCTGCACCATTCTGTCTTCATCATATTCACTACACTTCCCAGCATCCTCTTGTCTCCACACCTGAACTCACTCCCTCAATCATCCACCTGTTCATCGTCCTGATCATCTGTGTCACCTGTCGTCACGTGTTCATTTTGTATCCTTATTTAGTTCTCTCTGTTTGGGGCTGTTTACACACGCGTTGGGCCACTTCATGCGTTTTCTCAGATCGGATAGCTATCTGATTTATCAAAACGATTCCATTTACACCTGGTCACATAAATGTGTTTTTGCAAATGGATATAAATCCGATCTTCAATTCCCGCGCTATATGCGGATTTAATGAAGTGCACGTCACCGAAAGCAACAGATATGAGCTGGATTTTATTGATCATCGGCTTTCATAATCAGCAAAGACGGTGATAAGAGAGAGCGGCAACAGAACTGGTAAGATCATTTCATTTCTTTGGAAAAGAAGATTGGAGAAACTTTTTTTTCGCACAAAAAAAAAAAAAAAAACGAAAGGGGTACCCCTGTCGTTTTTTTCGGATTGAAATTTTGAGTTGCTCTGATCTTCTTGAAACTCTGGATTCTGATAGACGGCCGTGAGACTTAGACCTGAGTTTGGGTTGCGGAGAGTTTGTGAGACTGTGGTTTTTTAACACCTACTCCCGTATAATGGAAATCATTATGAACATCCGCTAAGCTAATTATTTCCCATCTGCCTTTCTTCTGCTGTTAACGCTTGTCCCAAGAAAAATGGCGTTCATCAGCTCCAGTTTTGTATCCAGCCTCTCACGGAGACTTCAGATGCCCAAACGCATGTGATGAGAAGACCAACACCTGTGAAGAGACGATTAAACGCCAGCGATATGTTATGCCCTTAATATTGCATGATTAACTAAATGTATTTTTTTCCATGTACTCTTCTGATGTGCACTTAATGTAAAGCTGCTTTGAAACAATATGTATGTTAGCCAGAGGAGAACTGGCCCCCGACTGAGCATGAGCATTTTTGCACTCAGGTCTAATTCCCATGGCCCTCTATCAGAATCATGAGTTTCAAGAAGATTGGAGAAACTTTTTTTTTCGCACAAAAAAAAAAAAAAAAAACCAAAGGGGTAACACTGTTGGTTTTTTTGGGTCGATATTTTGAGTTGCTCTGATCTTCTTGAAACTCTGGATTATGATAGAGGGCCATGGGACTTTGACCTGAGAGCAAAAATGGAGGCTCTAGACCCTTCCAGAGCTGAGATATTGAGACCTCACATAGCATTTATGCCACTATAAATATCTCAATATCTCAGCTCTGGAAAGGTCTAGATCATCCATTTTTGCACTCAGGTGAAAGTCTCATGGCCCTCTATCAGAATCCAGAGTTTTGAGAAGATTGGAGAAACTTAACTTTTCGCCCAAAAACGAAAGGGGTAACACTGTCGTTTTTTTTTCGGGTCGAAATTTTGAATTTTGATATCTCAGCTCTGGAAGGGTCTAGAGCCTCCATTTTTGCACTCAGGTCAAAGTCTCACAGCCCTCTATCATAATCCAGAGTTTTGAGAAGATTGGAGAAACGTAATTTTTTGCCCGAAAATGAAAAAAAACGAAAGGGGTAACACTGTCGTTTTTTTTTCGGGTCGAAATTTTGAATTTCGATATCTCAGCTCTGGAAGGGTCTAGAGCCTCCATTTTTGCACTCAGGTGAAAGTCTCATGGCCCTCTATCAGAATCCAGAGTTTTGAGAAGATTGGAGAAACTTAATTTTTTGCCCGAAAATGAAAAAAAACGAAAGGGGTAACACTGTTGTTTTTTTTTTTTGGGTCGAAATTTTGAATTTCGATATCTCAGCTCTGGAAGGGTCTAGAGCCTCCATTTTTGCACTCAGATGAAAGTCTCATGGCCCTCTATCAGAATCCAAAGTTTTGAGAAGATTGGAGAAACTTAATTTTTTGCCCGAAAATGAAAAAAAAACGAAAGGGGTAACACTGTCGTTTTTTTTTTTCGGGTCGAAATTTTGAATGTTGATATCTCAGCTCTGGAAGGGTCTAGAGCCTCCATTTTTGCACTCAGGTGAAAG